TCTGCGGCGCGCAGTGGATCGGGGGAAGGGGAAGAGCGCCAGGTGGCGCGGGAAGGAAGCGGACGAAGCTCTGCGGGCGGCAGCAGTAGGGAGGGCGGCAGCGGACGGCAAGCTGGCGGCGGTGGCCGGCAGGCTGGTGGCAGCAGCCGGTCGCATGGGGGCAGCGGCCGTCAAGAAGGTGGCAGTGGCCGTCAAGGAAGCGGTAGTGGCCGTCAGGAAAGCGTTAGTGGGCGGCAGGTGAACGTTCGCGGGCGGCAGGAAGTGGGATACGGGCGGCACGACGAGCATGGCACGGAGAGGGAGCAGGATTTCGGGCGGCAGAGGAGGGAGAATGGGCGGGGAAGTGGGAGTGATGGCAGCAGTGACGGGAACTGGGACTTTGTAGAGCAAGTCGAGGAACACTATAGCGGGGATGGCTGGAGGAAGAGAGGAGACGGCGTGGGACGGAGAGAGAGGGATGATTCGATAAGGGATGAAAGGGAAAGGAGTGTGATTAGGACGGGGGATGGAAGGAGTGGGAGGAGTGAGGGGAGGAGTGGGAGGAGTGGGAGGAGTGAGAGGAGTGAGAGGAGCAGCATAAGGAGCAGTAAGAGTGGGAGTGGGAGGAGTGACAATGCGGATAGTGATTATAGCGGTAGTGGGGCGGGGAGTGTGAGGTACTTTCCGGAAAGAGGGGGGAGTAAGAAGAGGCCTACTTGGATGGAGGAGGATGGGGATGAATTCTTTGAAGAGGACGGAGAGGAGGAAGAGGAGGAGAGAGAGGAGGGGGAGGAGGGGGGAGAGGGAGAGGGGATGGAGAGGGGAGGTGGGGAGTGGCAGGGGCAACAGACGCGCCAAAGGCAGATTCAATTCGATTTGCCATCCGCTAGTCAGGACAGAGAGGGGGGGCGCGGGGGATATCAGCCGAGAGTGAGAAGCGAGGGACAAGGAGTAGGAAAGGGGGGAGGAAGAGGGGGAGGAGAAGGAGGGAGGATTGGGAGAGGGAGGAGAGGTTCGGGCAGGTCAAGTGGAAGCATGGACTCGGTCCCTGAGGGAGAGTGTGAGGACGAGAGAGAGAGTGAGGATGAGGAGGAGTGGGAGGATGAGGGGAGTGACTTGGACGAAGCCGGGTATGGAGAGGAAAGGGTGCTGCTGCTGGGGGAAGGGGGAGAGGGTGGTTACCACAAGGGTGGTAACCAGAAGAGTGGTTACGAGGAGGACGAGAGGCGGCTCTCGGATGTGTCACTGCAGGGAGTCAAAGGAGACGCGGGCTCGCCTGCTCCCATGCCGCCCGCCCAGGTTTCATACTCTGCTGCTTCTACTGCTGCTGCTTCCGTGGCTGGTGGTAATGGTGGTGGTGGTGCTGCTGCTGGTGGTGCTGCTGGTGGTGGTGCTGCTGCTGGTGGTGGTGCTGCTGCTGGTAGAGGTGGTAGTGGTGCTGACAGTGGTGCTGGTGAACTGGAGCGCAGTGAGACGCTGGCAGAGAGGCAGCGGCGGCTGTACCTCACGTCGCCCTCCTTCGCCTCCATTCTGAACCAAGTGGACGATGAGAGTGATGGGGAGGAGGAGGGGGAAGGAAAGGGAGATGTGGGGAAGGGAACAGGAGGAGCAGCAAGAGGAGCTTCACTGGCAGCTGCTGCTGCTGCTGCTGCTGCTGCGGTTGGTGCTGGCGGCGCAGCTGATTCCACAGCTGGTTCTGCTGCTGGGTTTGGTGTGCTTGATGAGGGTATTAGAGTGAATCCGTTCGGAGTGGGGGGTGAAGGGACGGGAGGGGGGAGGGAGATGGAGGGCCCGTCTTTGGCTGACGCGTTAGAGGAGGAGAAGCAGCGGCGGCTGCGGCTGGTGTCGCCCTCGTTTGCTTATATTCTAAACGAAGTGGGTGATGACGAGGATGATGAGGGTGAGACAGAACAGTTGGAACAGCAGCAGGGGCAGCAGCAGGGGCAGCAGCAGGGTGGTGTGGAATCGGAGGAGCAGCGCAGGCTGCGGCTCATCTCACCATCCTTTGCCCACATCTTGAAGGAAATCGACTCAGATGATGATGAGAACGACAACGCTACTGCTAATGCTGGTGCTGATGCTGATGCTGATGCTGATGCTGCTGCTGATGCTGATGCTGATGCTGATCATGATCGAGAGAGTAGGGGGGATGGGAACCTCAATAGCACTGCTGGCAGTGGTGGTAATGGCAGCAAAAGAGTCAGCACTGGTGACGGTGGCGACCTGTCGTTTGACCTCTCTGCTGCACACCGAAACTCGCGCTCCACTTGCTCCCTGCCCTCCCCAGGTGCCGCCTCCCCCAGAAGCACCTCCCCCGATGCACTCTTCCCCCGCCCTGGCTCCCCCTGGCACAGCAGAAGCTGCTCAGCTGCCTCCGCTGAGCTCTCCCCGCGCCTGTGGGGGGGAGCGCGCGGGGGAAGAGGGGGAAGCGGGGGAGGGGAGGAGCGCTGGGGGGAAGGGGCGGAGGGAGAGGAGACGGGGGCGATGGAGGGGGGTGGGGGAGGAATGCGGGGATAGGGGTTGCACGGATGGGGAGTGAAGGGGATTGGGAGCGGGGGAGGGGTGGAAGCAACGAGGATATTTTTCTCGCTGGTGGTTTCTCGAGGAGCAGGGAATTGTCGCCGTCCAATGAGGGGCTGCCACGTAGCATGAGTGCAACGGTGGTGGGAAGCAGGAGCAGAGAAGCATCCCCTGGTGAGGCTGGTGCCACTGGCGCCGGCCCTGGTGGCAGGGCAGAGATAGGGCAAAGAGAACAAGGAGGGCAGTGGGAACAGCGGGAGCGCAGTCAGCAGCACATACGCGCGAGGGGAGGGGGCTCCCTCGGGGGGTTCTCTTCTGCTTTGCCACGTGCTACTACTGTTGATGGCAGCAGAATTCCCAATAGGAGCAGGGTCAGCGATGCCACTGATGCTGCTAGCGCAGCCGGGATGCATGAAGGCGCAAGGCCCAGGGTCCTCCTAGGCTCCACAGCGGGAAACCCCCTGGGTGCAGCAGCAGCCGGGGGCGGGCATGGGCACACCACAGCGGCCGCTCTGATCAGCCCCCGGGAAGTCCGCATGCAGGGGCAGGGGGGGCACGGCTCCCGTCCGTCGCTCGGTCCTTTTGAGGCGCCTCAAAAGGGGCAGGGGCACGGCTCTCGTCCGATGCTCGGTACTCTCTCCCAGGGTGCTCCGCAGGATGGGCAGGGCCACATGCCACTCTCCCCTCATCTCTCCCAACCTCTCTCCCCGCATCTCGTGCAGCCTCAGTCTCCTCACCTTACGCAGCCTCTGGCTCGTGTGCCGGAGAGCAGCAGCGCGGAGGAGGGCGATGGGTTGTTTGGTGTGCGGGGGACGCAGGGCGGGCGGGTGGGAGCGCAGGCGGTAGGGCAAGTGGGAGGGCAGGTGGGAGGGCGGACAGGAGGGCATATGGGAGGGCGGACAGGCGAGGATATGGGAGGGCGTGGGCAGGCACTGCAGGGGGGAGGGTTTCGGCGGATGCACAAGAGCATGAGCGAAGGGGGTGATGGTGCGTCACTCGTTCCGGGGGTTAATCTGGGGCAGTTTGCTGGTGCTGCTGACGTGGAGGCTGCTGACGTGGACCTTGCTGACGTGGCAGGGGGTGTATCGCCAGGTGGACGGAGGCTGCAGAGGAGGTATACGTCAGATGTAGAGACCAGGCAGCGACAGCGACAGGAGTGGCAGCTGCAGCAGCAGCAGCGGCAGCATGAAGCAATAAGAAGGACAGGGAGCGGGGGGGACGTGGTTGCCAGTATGAGCCCTGGGAGCAACACCAGTGAAAACGCGTTTGGAAGGCGAAGGGTAGTGAGGCCAGCAGGGGGGGTCGGTGCGGCTGGTGAGGGGAGACGGCTCGCTAGACACCAATCAGCGGAGACTGAGTCGCTCAATAGACCAATCAGACGCGGCCACGTGGCATCTGTGGATTTCTCCCCTCCTCGCAGCCCTCTCTCCAGAATGACCCACTCTCACTCTGTTGACTACTCCCCCCCTCACTCCCACAAGCACTCGTACCTTACACCTGAACTTGAGAATGCTACGGGGGAAATGCACCTCTTCCCTCATGATAGTCACCGCCCAGTTATGTCACACTCTCATTCTCTAGACCACTCGCCTCCCCAACCTCGCCGGACCTCCGCAGCAGCTCTGGTCAGCCCCCGAACCGGCCTTGCACCTGGCCAAGGTTCTAGCTCTGGCAATGTGCGGTTTGTGATTCGGAGAAGCAGCACCGTAGGTGGACCAGTTGGCGCTGGCGCTGGTGCTGGTGGCGCTGCTGCTGGTGCTGGGGACTGCTGGTGGCGCTGCTGGTGGTGCTGGTGGTGCTGCTGCTGGTGGTGCTGCTGCTGGTGCTGCTGGTGCTGGTGGTGCTGCTGCTGCTGCTGCTGCTGGTGGCAGTGGCAGCGGGAACAGCATGAGGCAGAGGACCAAAAGCAGCAGCATCAGCGATATATCCGATGCTCCTCACTCTGCTGTTGGTGTTGCCGCCGCTGCTGCTGCTGCTGGTGGTCCGTCCCAAAAACGTCTCCTTCGTCCCCCCAAGCTTTCCACCAAAGCATCCCCCTCCGCTTCCCCCATCACCTCCCCCAACGATTCCCCCTCCCCCTCCCCCGCACCGCAAAGGGATACCCCATCTACCCCTCCTGTTGTGGGAGAGGGCCAAGGGAGAGGCGCGAGAGGGCAGGGGGGAAGCTTCAACGAAGGCTCCTCACAGATGCAGACGAGAAGCAAGCAGCCGCAGAGGTTCAGCTCGTCCTCTTCTGCCTCCTCGGCAGGGCATGCTTCAGGTGGTGCTTCAGGTGCTGCTTCAGGTGGTTCTTCAGGTGGCGGTTCAGGTGGGCCACGAACGCCCACCCGCTCCTCCTCAACTTCTAGTGCTGCTACGGTCCATGCCCATGGAAGCACACCCAGAACACCGACTCGAACCTCCTCCTCTGCTTCCACCGCATCTGCTCATAACGAGGATAAAGGCAGGCCCAGAACACCCACTCGTATGCCCGTTTCTGCCTCTGTTGGGTCTGCTTATAGTGGGGATAAGGAAAAGCATCCTACGGGTGAACAGAGAGTTAAGACTCCAACTCGCATGCCCTCTTCTGCTTCCACTGGGTCTGCTTATAGCGAGGATGTGCAGGCTTCAGGCAAAGGCAGGTCAAAGACTCCCACTCGCATGCCCTCCTCTGCTTCTACAGGGTCAGGTTATAACGGGGATAACAATCCGTCAGTTGAAAGGAGGTCCAAGACTCCCACTCGAATGCCGTCTTCCGCCTCCACCGGATCTGGTAACGGATCTGCTTATAGTGAAGCACAGGCGCGACCCAAAACGCCAACTGGCAGCCCCTCTGCCGCTTCAACCTCCTCTGGCTCATCCTCCTTACAAGACGACTTGCTTGAAGACGATGCCGCTTTAGAGGAGGTACACCAGTCGTTTTTCCGCGCCAAGGGGAGAAGATTCCTGGAAAAAGCGATGAAGGGGTTTAGTAAGCTCGTGGGAGGGGGGGTGGGAGCGGTAAACATTCTGGGAGGGGAGTATCGGGATGTCGGGGCGATGTATGCCGTGCAAATGGATAAGGAGCTTGGGTCGGGACAGTTTGGAGTGACTCGGGTGGCGGTGTGCCGAGCCACGGGGGAGAAATTTGCATGCAAGACAATCAACAAGGCTGCTCTGAAGGTTAGTTTGCTCGCACTAAGTCAAAGTCAGCTCACTCTTACTCGCGCTTGTTTTCTCAACCAGTCAACGCCCTTCTGCAAGTCAATCAACAAGCTGATTGTCCTTCACTTCAGTGTCAAACGAGGCTAGTTGCCTTCCAGTGAAGGTCGACGGCTGTTGGGGGTATGGTATTTCCACGTGTGCAGTGTACCGTCAGTCAGTGTCAGTGTATAGTCAATGTATTGTTAGCCAATGTAAAAATAGTGTCAGTCAATGTAAATGTGCCATGAGTCACTGTGAACGCACCTTCAATGTAAACATACTGCCAATCACATGTACCTTCAGTCAGTGTCAAGGTACCGTCAGTCAATGTCAGGGTACCGTCAGTCAATGTCAATGTTCCGTCAGTCAATGTAAATGTACATCAAGGCAAAGTCAATGTGTCATTGTTCCTTCAGCCAATGCAGGTTCAGTCACTTTAAAGCACCTAATAAGTTCTGCAGGCTAGTTAATCGTCAGCAGTCATCAGGCTGCTTTCTCACAGGCAGTCATCAGGGTAGTTACTCTGTAGCTTATCAGACTACTTGATCGCTAGCATTCATCAGGTAAGTGCCTCGCCAACAGTCATCAGGCTAGCTACCTGCCAGCAGCTATCAGGCTAGTTATTTGTCAAAAGTCATCCGGCTAGTTTCTCGCCAAAAAGAATTGGGCTAGTTACTCTGTAGCAGTAATCAGGCTACTTTTGGCCAGCAGTCATCAGGTTATTGTCTCGCCAGCAGTCGTCAGGCTAGCTACTCGCCAGCAGTTATCAGGCTAGCTACTCGCCAGCAGTTATCAAGCTAGCTAATCGCCAGCAGTTATCAAGCTAGCTACTCGCCAGCAGTTATTAGGTTCATCAGCAGTCATCAGGCTAGTTACTCTGTAGCAGTTATCAGGTTACTTTTGGTCAGAAGTCATCAGCTTTTGTTACTCTGTAGCAGTTATCAGGTTACTTTTGGTCAGAAGTCATCAGCTTTGTTACTCTGTAGCAGTTATCGAGCTACTTGATCGTCAGCAGTCATCAGGCTAGCTACTCGCCAGCAGATATCAGGTTCATCAGCAGTCATCCGGCTAGTTACTCGGTAACAGTTATCAGACTACTTAATCGCGACAGTCACCAGGCTAGTGTCTCGCCAGCAGTTATCAGGCTAGTAGTTCGTCAGCCTTCGTCAGTCTTGTTACTCACTTGGTTACTCTCTCCAGGAGTTGTCAGGCTCTAATTTCGCCAGCAATCACCAGGCTAATTATCATCAGGTTACTTATTCGCCAGCGATCATCTGGCTATTTAATCGGCAGCAGTTATCAGGCTAGTTACTCGTCAGCAGTCCTTAGGCTAGAGGTTCGCCAGTAATCATCAGGCTAGTTATTCGCCAGCAGCTATCAGGCTACATGATCGTCAGCAACTATCTGGCTAGATATTCTTCACCAGGAGCCACAGGGCTAATAATTCGCCAGTAGTCACAAGGCTAGGTATTCGCAAGTAGTCAAAAGGCTAGTTATTTACCAGTAGCCATAAGGCTAGTTATTCGCCAGTGTTAATCAGGCTAGTTAATCGGCATTCATCAGGCTAGCTATTTTCAGCAGAGCTCTCACGTCTGTAATCTCAATTCGCAGCATGGAATTCGCTGGAGTGCATTCGCGAGCAGTAACTTGCCAATGTTCGAGCGAAATCTTGTGGCTGTTGTGAGGTTCAAGTTGCGCGAAAATGCCTGGCGAATTCTATCTGGTCTGAGACGCCAGGTTCGTAACTCCTGTAACCCTAGTCTCGTCAGGCAGGAGCCGTTTGGCAGGAGGGGGTGGAGGGTTGTGGATTCACAAATTTGTTACCAGCTTTTTCATAATCTTGGGGTTTTCGGAGAATGAGAAGGAAAGGTCCGCACACATATGAACCTCTCAAACTCGTCAAACCCATTCATGCACAAAAGGAAGGTTATGTAAAAGCAGTCTGAAAACAAACCAACCAAGGAGAATTTTCTGATTATGAAATTTAAATTCATCACTATGAGTGGCCCTTGAGTAGATTTAACCTAATGCACACTATTCACCAACGCACAGTGCTCAGCAGCTTTACAACATTTGCGCTTTTCAATTTATGTTATATTGCCGAATCTTCATTCTTCACCCAATACACATCAAACATGTGATTCATGCGGTTCACTTAAGTCACAATGTCACCAGCTCGCGTTTCTCTCCTAAACACAACATTACTCTCGCCTGAGATGATTTCACTTCTGCAAGCTGTTTATAATGGGGATAACTTGTGAAAGCTATCTATGTCGCTCTGCTTTCCTTTCAGTCTTACCTCTCCCACCCTCTCTGCTCCCATCCTGTCATATTTTTATTTGCCTTTGAGAGCAGAGCAAGTCAGATGAGGACGACGTGAGGCGCGAGGTGACTATAATGGAGATGGTTAAAACGCATCCCAAGGTGGTGAAGCTGAAAGAGGTCTTCGAGAACGAGCAGGTGAGATTGTTTGGGCGTTTGTGTTCCAATGAGCAAGTGCGCAAGTGCATGTGCGCGGGGATTTCAAACTGTTCAAGTCAGCACCCGCCCCAGCAACCCCTCTTCCCACCCCCTTTATGCCCCTTCGCAGGGCTCCACCTGTGATTTAGTTGTGTTCAGGAGGGGAGCTTTTGAGGCAAATCATTAACTGTCTAACCCCCCCCCTTCCCCCATCAAAGGCCATTCACCTGATAATGGAGCTCTGCTCGGGCGGCGAGCTATTCAACTCGAAACAAAATCTGTCAAATCGCCCCCTCTCCCCATCTCAACTCCCTCCGCCCCTCGCCCCACCTCAAAGGCCATCCACCTGATAATGGAGCTGTGTTCGGGCGGGGAGCTGTTTGACCGCATCAAGGAGCGGCGGCGGTACAGCGAGAGGGAGGCGGCTTTGGTGATGCGGGCGGTGCTGGGCGTGCTGCAGAGCTGCCACCAGCGCCACCACGTGCTGCACCGCGACATCAAGCCCGAAAACATCCTCCTCGCCCACCCCTCCTCCCCCACTGACGTGCGCGTCATCGACTTCGGGATCTCCACCATCCTGAAGCCAGGTATGGGACCCCCCATGTGTTTGTCTGCACAATATTCTGCTAAACGTCAACCCTTCCAACAGACCTCTTTCTCTCCGTTACAAGCCAGTCACAGTTGTTCTTCTCCGATCCATTATCTGGCATTGCCAGTTTGTTTTATTGCATGGAATGACCAATGATTCCATTCATACATTGCAGATTCAGTAACCCTACCCCCTTCTTCTCTTTCTCCCCCTTTCCCTAAGCCCTCGCCCTTCCTTACGCCAGGCTCCAAGCCGCTGTCTGATTTTGTAGGCTCACTCTACTACATCGCTCCAGAGGTGATCGAAGGCTCTTATGGCTTCCCAGCAGACGTGTGGTCAGCAGGCGTTGTCTTATACGTGCTGCTGGCTGGCGTCCCGCCCTTCTGGGCCAAGACAGAGGCTGATGTGACGAAGGCGATTCGGGAGGGAAAGTGGGGGTTCCGGGGTGCAGTGTGGCGGAATGTGTCAGAGCCAGGAAAGGATCTGATTTGCCAGCTGCTGACGCACAACCAGAAGAAGAGAATCACTGCCCGTGCTGCCCTCGGTACGTATTTGCTCTTGCATATATGCTTCATAGCCTCACAATAAATCTTTGTGCCCGCCTCTTCAACCATTATTTCGGTTATTCCAAGCACATTAATTTTCGTCCTCCCCACACTTCCTGGTCCATGCAGATCATCCCTGGTTCCGCAAATGGGATTCATGAATGGAGCGAAACTGAAACTGAATGCATCGTTTTTTATAGATGACCACAGGTTTAGAAGCTGCCAGTATCTTACAAGATGACATTGGCACTTCGTAGGTTGCTAAAACATAAGGTGACGCAACATTCAAACGACACTAATTTTGTTATGAATTTGACTTCATATAGCTTGTTCTGCGCTTCCACCTTGTGTTAAAATCGAGTCGACAATTACAGTATCATACTCATGAAGGAAACCTATCGCAGTCTGACATGGGCCTCTCAGATGGCTTCCCGTTGCTTCAAGAGCCAGACTTGATTGGTTGACCAAAAAACGGGACTGACCACTGGGGCTTGTTATTGGTTAAAAATTTCACAAAGTATCCAATCACGTTGCGCCTGTCGGGAACGCTATCAGAACTTTTCGCTCACGCACGCCGCATTCCGCCCTCCTCAAGTTGTGGGACAACGAGGCAAGACGGCCAACCGCCGTCAGTTCCACGACCACATGGGCTCATGTGATGTAGCTGGGTCCTCCTGACCCCAACTTTGGCAAGTGCTGGTCGTCACCAGTGTCGATTTCCAGCCTCCAGATTTCCCATCCACCAATGGATGGTCCACGTGGCTCAGATCGATGCGTTGTTACATTCGCTGCGCTTCTATCGCCCTCACTCATGCTTCGGTTCGGGTGGTTTGCCAGGCCTACCTCCTAGTTTTACGCATCTGGGAATACCAGATTCTCCCCTTTTTTGCTACCCGTTTTCGCAAAGTGGAGCGTGATGTTGTCCAGCGACGACTAGTGTGTAGGAAAAAAAGTCATGTAGTAAAGAAAACACTAGTCGTTGCTCGACAACATCAAGCTAGTGTGACTTGAGTTGAAAGAAATAGTGCCAATAATCATGTGACCTTAATTTAGTTCTTTCTGTAGGAAATGCCAGCTTAATTCAGGGAATCTACGATATGTATACGATCTTTGGGCTACCCTCCCGGAAAATTCTCGGTCACTTGTTGCTGGTTTGGTTTGGTGCACATCCTTTCTCGTGCCACACACAGTACGGCCCAAACCTGCCCACGCCTATTCCACCGTCTTTGAACCCATTTAACCGTATCTTAACCTGTATTAACCATTTCATTGTCCTTACCCACACCAACTCAGGCACGAGCAGTGCAGCACGAGCACCAGCTCAGGCAGGCTTTCTCCGCCTGTGAGACCTGTTCCAGTCCCCGAGTCCTCCCAAACACCACACTTGCATTACTTGCAGCCATTGCTGGGACTCAGGCTGAGCTGTAAAAACTCGTGTTTCCATCCCCTCGCCTATTCGCCCGCTGCGGCCTTCCCTTATCTTGTGCGTGTGGCAACCTTAGCCATTTGCAACGCGACGAGGGCTAGCTAGAGCGACAAAACCAAGACGTCGATCAGCAAAACAAGCTGGGTAGTAGAGCCCAGAGTCGAGACCCAGACCAGACCAAATCCAACAGACCAGCACCGTAGGCTGGCTAGGAAGGCTGTCGTCGTCACGTAACCCGCTTTCGTTGATCGTGCGAACAGCGAAGCAGCGAGTACATTATCTCTGCGAGGCGAAAGTCGGCCAGGGGAGGCGGTTATTCATTATTATCTACCACGTCGCGCTTATTTACCTTCTCGTGTCCACAACACGTTTCTGTATGTGCCCTCCCTTGTTTTCTGACATCATTCCAACCACGCACCCAGTCACCATAATCTGAAGTGTCTGCCGCTCGACTGGATTGTTCTAAAAGGTCCGCGTATTTCGCATTGTGTGAGATCCTGCGGTGGAGGTGATAGATGTCTTTAAATAGGTGCTGACGCCAGCGGGCTTTACTAAGCGCAGCGAGCATGCTATGGCAGCATGGAGAATCGAACACGTGACCACCAGGAATGACCACCAGGAATGACTTTTGAGACGTCTCAAAGGAATCGAGCACGTGACCACCAGGAATGACTGCAAAGGCAAGACATGGCGCATCCTTGCATTCCTGCCTCCTACCTCTTCCGACATTTTTAGTCAAATCTAGGAATACAAACCTAACATACTGTGACGTACTCTTCGCGACGCCGTCCTTCTCTTCGAGTGTTAACTACCTATTTAGGAGTCCGTCAGTCAATTGTTTCCAGCCTTAGGACGCCTGCTTAGTTCGAAGCGTTGGACTCCACGGCATCGTATCGTATTCTGCCGTGTCGTATAGGATTGGATCATTAAGGACGGCTCGCATTGTTTAGGCCCTCTCCCATCCATGACCGCAGAAGTCGCATCCATGTCCGCCGTCGCGTCGCTAGGAGTCACCGTCAAATCCGCCTCGACATCTGCCATCAGCGAGGGCTCTGCTTATACCGAGGATGCCGTTTCCACTCCGATCACCGGCGGCATTCCCGAGGGCTGGCCGGTGAACGCCTCCACGGAAATGCCTCCGCATTTGGCGGCGGATGCGGCGGCGGCGGATCCGGTGGTTCGGTTCACGGTGGCGGAGCAAGTAAAGAAAGGCGAGGACTTTCACATGGCACTCGCTAACTATCGGTTAGGCGGCGTCAACTGCGGCGTGTACTGCGTAAGTCGAGTTCCCGCCATGTTTGTCTTTTTGTTCATTGTTATACCCAGTCTCTTCCCCCCACTCCTCCTCCCCTCCCTCTCAAACGTTCCGTCCCCCTCCGACCTTCCATTTCCCCCTTTCCTCTCTTCCCCTCACTTCACCGCACGCGCCTCTCGGGTGTTCGACGGGCACAGCGGCACGGCGTCAGCGATGCACTGCAAAAAGGAGCTGCTAGGGTTTGTGAGCGAGTAGACTTTTGAGTCGACTCAAAAGTCACCTCTGCTAGGGTTCGTGAGCGAGTACCCTCCGCTCATCCCCACCATTCCTCCCCACCTTTTCCCCTCTTTCCTCCCCACCTCTCACTCCCCTCCTTCCGCTCCCTCCTCCTTCAGGTGTTCGACGGGCACAACGGCACGGCGTCAGCGATGCACTGCAAAAAGAAACTTCTAGGGTTCGTGAGCGAGTAGACTCTTGAGTCGACTCAAAAGTCACCTCTGCTAAGGTTCGTGAGCGAGTACCCTCCACTCATCCCCAACATCTTCCTCCCCTCCTTCCCCCCACCCCCACCCCCCCGCCCTTTCAGGTGTTCGACGGGAACAACGGCACGGCAGCCGCCATGCACTGCAAGAAGGAGCTGCTGGCGTTCGTGAGCGAGTACCTTCGACTTCTTCCCCTTATTCCCCCTCGCCTCCCCTCGTTCCTCACCCGCGCTCCCCCTCCTTCCCCTGTCATCTCAGGCGTTTGACGGGCACAACGGCACAGCAGCCGCCATGCACTGCAAGATGAAAATGCTGGAGCTCGTGAGCGAGTACCCTACCTACCCTCCACTCATTCCCCCCACTCTCCCCCACCGTCTTCCCCTGCTTCCCTCGCTCGTCCCCTCCTGCCGTTCTTCCCGTCTCTCAGGTGTTCGACGGGCACAACGGCACAGCAGCCGCCATGCACTGCAAGAAGGAGCTGCTGGGATTCGTGAGCGAGTACCATCCACTTATCCTCCCCATTCCCCTCCCACTCCACCTCCTCCCTCCCATCCTTTCCCCCCCCCCGCGCCTCTCCCTTCAGGTGTTCGACGGGCACAACGGCACAGCAGCCGCCATGCACTGCAAGAAGGAGCTTCTGGGATTCGTGAGCGAGTACCTGCCGGGGGGGTCGTCATACCGAGAGGAAGCTGGGGAGAAGGGCGAGGAGGCAGAGGTGACGAGTAAACGGCGCGACGGGGAAGGCGCGGACGTGCCAGCGAGTGGCGGCGACGGGGACGGAGGCGGCGGGGGGGGAGGCGGAGAGGGAGGGGGAGGGGGAGGGGTAGGGAGCAAGGAAGCGTGGTTGAAGGCGCTGCCTATGGCTCTGGCGGAAGGGTTCCTGAAATGCCACAACACGTTCGCCCTGCGTGAGTGCTGCACAGCGCACCACATCGCATCAGAGCACGCACGCACATGGTGTTTCTCACGCGTTACAACATGATTGCGATACATGCATGCATGCATGCATGCGCGCGTGTGTGTGTGTGTATGCATGCGTGTGTGTGTGTGTGCTTGTGCGTGTTTGTGTGTGCGTGCGTGAGTGTATGTGTGTGTTTGGGGGGGTGGGTGGGTGTGTGTGTGTGTGTGTGTGCATGTGTGTGTGTGTGTGTGTGTGTGTGTGTGTGTGTGTGTGTGTGTGTGTGTGTGTGTGTGTGTGCGTGCATGTGTGAGTGTGTGTGTGTGTATGCATGTGTGAGAGTGTGTGTGTGCGCGCGCGCGTGTGCATGTATGCATGCGCGTCTGCGTGTGCGCGTGGGGAAACACGCACACACTCGTGTGACATGTCCTGCCCAGCCCTGTGTGTCTGTGCGTGCAATCTCTTGTTGTGCGTGCGTGTGTGTGCGTGTGTGTGTGTATGATCTTGTGTGTGTGTGCGTGAGTGTAAGGGTATGTGTGTGTACGCGCGTTCATGCATTTATTCGTGCGTGCACGCATGTGTTCATGCATGCGCATGTGTTCATGCATGCGCATGAGTTCATGCATGCGCATGTGTTCATGCATGCGCATGTGTTCATGCATGCGCATGTGTTCATGCATGCGCATGTGTTCATGCATGCGCATGAGTTCATGCATGCGCATGTGTTCATGCATGCGCATGTGTTCATGCATGCGCATGTGTTCATGCATGCGCATGAGTTCATGCATGCGCATGTGTTCATGCATGCGCATGTGTTCATGCATGCGCATGTGTTCATGCATGCGCATGTGTTCATGCATGCGCATGAGTTCATGCATGCGCATGTGTTCATGCATGCGCATGTGTTCATGCATGCGCATGTGTTCATGCATGCGCATGTGCTCATGCATGCGCATGAGTTCATGCATGCGCATGTGTTCATGCATGCGCATGTGTTCATGCTTGCGCATGAGTTCATGCATGCGCATGAGTTCATGCATGCGCATGTGTTCATGCATGCGCATGTGTTCATGCATGCGCATGTGTTCATGCATGCGCATGAGTTCATGCATGCGCATGTGTTCATGCATGCGCATGTGTTCATGCATGCGCATGTGTTCATGCATGCGCATGTGTTCATGCATGCGCATGAGTTCATGCATGCGCATGTGTTCATGCATGCGCATGTGTTCATGCATGCGCATGTGTTCATGCTTGCGCATGAGTTCATGCATGCGCATGAGTTCATGCATGCGCATGTGTTCATGCATGCGCATGTGTTCATGCATGCGCATGTGTTCATGCATGCGCATGTGTTCATGCATGCGCATGTGTTCATGCATGCGCATGAGTTCATGCATGCGCATGAGTTCATGCATGCGCATGAGTTCATGCATGCGCATGAGTTCATGCATGCGCATGTGTTCATGCATGCGCATGTGTTCATGCATGCGCATGTGTTCATGCTTGCGCATGAGTTCATGCATGCGCATGAGTTCATGCATGCGCATGTGTTCATGCATGCGCATGTGTTCATGCATGCGCATGTGTTCATGCATGCGCATGTGTTCATGCATGCGCATGTGTTCATGCATGCGCATGAGTTCATGCATGCGCATGTGTTCATGCATGCGCATGAGTTCATGCATGCGCATGTGTTCATGCATGCGCAGGTGTGTCCTGAACCTCCGTCCATCGTATTTCCTCGCTCCACCTCCGACTCACTCAGCAGCATCCCTTTTCCCCCATTCCCCCTCTCTTCCCACTTAACCCGTGTTTTTTAAAAAAGGAGGCCAGCCGTCCGGAGCAACAGTGACGGTGGCGATCGTGTCGGGGTGGACGGTGACAGTGGCGGCAGTGGGGGACCCTTGGGATTTCCGTACCCTTCGTTGGCCCCATCCTTACCAACACCCTCTGGCTATTTTTGAGGCGCCTCAAAAATCAACTCGTCTTTGGCCCCATCCTTACCACCCTCTGGCTCCCTCACCCCGCCTCCCCACGTCCCAACACCAGGCGGCCAGCCGTCCGGAGTTGATTTTTGAGTCGACTCAATTTTTTTTTTTTTTTTTTTAGTCGACTCAAAAATCAACTCGTCTTTGGCCCCATCCTTACCACCCTCTGGCTCCCTCACCCCGCCTCCCCACGTCCCAACACCAGGCGGCCAGCCGTCTGGAGTTGATTTTTGAGTCGACTCATTTTTTTTTTTATTTTTTTTTTAGTCGACTCAAAAATCAACTCGTCTTTGGCCCCATCCTTACCACCCTCTGGCTCCCTCACCCCGCCTCCCCACGTCCCAACACCAGGCGGCCAGCCGTCCGGAGTTGATTTTTGAGTCGACTCAATTTTTTTTTTATTTTTTTTTTAGTCGACTCAAAAATCAACTCGTCTTTGGCCCCATCCTTACCACCCTCTGGCTCCCTCACCCCGCCTCCCCACGTCCCAACACCAGGCGGCCAGCCGTCCGGAGCGACAGCAACGGTGGCGATAGTCTCGGGATGGACGGTGACAGTGGCGGCAGTGGGGGACTCGCGTGCCATTCTGGACACCACTGGAGGGGGCGTCACGCCCTTGTCACTGGACCACCGATTTGAGGTCTCAGAGGACGAGTGAGTGGGGGAGGACTTGGTGGGGGTGGATGGTTGCTCTAACGGAAAGGTAGCAGTGGGGGACTCGCGTGCCATTCTAGACACCACTGGGGGAGGCGTCACGCCCTTGTCACTGGACCACCGATTTGAGGTCTCAGAGGACGAGTGAGTGGGGGAAAAGTAGGGGGGGTGTGTGAAGGGAACTCTTGATTCGCCCTGACCGAATGGCAGCAGTGGGGGACTCACGCACGCGCCATTCTTGACGCCACTGGGGGAGGTCACGCCGCTGTCTCTTTACCCCTGATTCGTAGTGTCGGAAGACGAGTGAGTGGGGTACGATGAGAGCGGGGAAGGAGGGGGGAAGGGAGGTTTCCTGATTTGACCTACCTGAACGTACCAGTGGGGGACTCACGTGCCATCCTGGACACCATTGGCTGGCACCTCTCTCACTGGCCCACCAATTTGAAGTTTCAGAGGACGAGTGAGTTGGGGAAGAAAGAGAAAAGGGACTCTTGATTTTCCATCTCACCGAAAAGTAGAAGAGCAGTGGGGGACGCGCGCGCGCGCCCTTCTGGACATCACTAGGTGGGGGGCATCACTCCCCTGTCGCTGGAAAACAGATTTGAAGTCTCTTGTTGGACTGTTGGGTGATTTCAACCTTGGGGTACCGTTGAGAGACTTAACAGGGCCTTAACCTGTGCTGCCTGTGTTGCCCTGTCCCGCTGCCTTGTCCCGCTGCCCTGTCTGTTGAAACCACCTGACCAGGTGCAACAGAGTGCTCAAGGAGGGCGGCCAGCTCGCCAGGCTTCGGACGTTTGATGGCACGCAGGTGTGTTGTGAGCATGGTCAGGTGTGTTGTGAGCATGGTCAGGTGTGTTGTGAGCATGGTCAGGTGTGTTGTTGTGAGCATGGTCAGGTGTGTTGTGAGCATGGACAGGTTTATACATGTGCAACGAGGCGAGCTTTTCGCCTCGGCTCGTACGAGGCACTCGTTCGAGGGCGAGAGACGAATTTGATTTTCTGTGAAAATTAGGCATGTATATGGTGGTATAGGGCAACGAGCTCATCTAAGCTCGGACGAGCTTTTAAAAAGCTCGTGACAAGAGACGAGTCACGAGCTTGAGTTCCCCCTGAAAAAACTCGGACGAGCTAAGCTCGGCTCGTGACATTACTCGTACGAGTGTGCCCAGGGATGAGCCGAGTAAAACTCTGCTCGTTGCTTTGCACATGTATAGTCAGGTGTGTGTTCTGTCAGTTGTACTGTCAGGTATATTGTTAGGTGGTGTTTGTGGCCTGGGTTTCCACACTCAATGTATTGTGAAGGCAAAATGTGTTTTTTTGTCTCAATGAAATGGATGTTTGATATTTCTAATAAAATATACTTGTTCTTCTTGAAGAGGGGAAGCACTGGGTGTATTGGAAAAGGAAGAGAGAAGAGGGGAAGGAGAAGCAACATCAGGGCGAGGGGATGCAATTGAGGATGCAACAGTAGCAGAAGAAAGAGGGTAATAAATGGGTGCTTACTTTTCCCAATGCACCCATTGTTTCCCCCTATTTCTTCCTCTACTAGTGCATCCTCAATCACATCCCCTCTTGATGCATCTCCTTCTCCTCTTCTCTCTTCTCCTCCTAATGCAACCATTGCTTCTCCTGTATTTCGCTGCAGGGTATATTTTGAAAATGCAGAGAATTCTAAAAAACACCTCATGCAACCGTTGCTTCTCCTGCGTTTCGAAAGCAAATTGTGTTTGGTTTTATTTCAATGAATTGGAAATCTCAAACAGTATAGTTGCTCTTCTTCCAACCAGATCTCAACCGTTCCATCTCATAATCACACAAACAGTGGTACCACCATGCTGCATACATAAAGATTGAGAAGAATTGTACATACATAAGATCGAAAAGACTCGCACATACATAAGATCGAGGAGAATTGTACGGGGTATTTGCACCTGCCCAACGCCGCGCAGCTGGCCGGGAGGGCTGTGTGTGACGCGGTCGATAAGCGATGTGGACTGTGGGTCTATCTGTGGCATGTTAGGGTCGACTCAAAAGGCATCCCTTGTCGTTGATTCCCTCCATCCTTCCCTTCCCCCTTCATTCTCTCCGTCCCCCCTCATCCCCTCCTGACCCCTCATCTCATCTACAGCTGGGCCCGCTCCGCAGCTGGCCGGGAGGGCTGTGTGTGTCACGGTCGACAGGCGAAGTCGAATGTGGCACGCTAGAGTCGATTCAAAAGTCATCTCTCCCTCCTTCCCCTGCATCCTCTCACGGTCGATAGGTGATGTGGACTGTGGCTCTGTGGCATGGTTGATTCGACTCACAAAGACAACCCTTCCATCCCTCCTCTCCGCCTCTCCGTCCCCTCCCTCACCTCCCTCCCATCCTGACCCCTCCAGTTGGGCCCGCTGCGTAGCTGGCCGGGAGGGCTGTGTGTGTCGCGGTCCATAGGCGATGTGGACTGCGGGTCTGTCTGTGCCATGTTGGCATGTGGGAGTCGACTCAAAAGACACCCCTTCTCGTCCTTCCCCTCCATCCCTCCCCCTCTATTCTCTCCGTCCCCCCTCATCCCTTCCTGACCCCTACAGCTGGGCCCGCTGCGCAGCTGGCCGGGAGGGCTGTGTGTGTCGCGGTCCATAGGCGATGTGGACTGTGGCACGTTCATCACACCGCTGCCGCATGTCAAGCAGATCCAGGTGAGAGCCGGATGCGGAGGGGTGTGGAGGGGCGTGGAGGGGCGTGGAGGGTTGTGGAGGGGTGTGGAGGGGTATGGAGGAGTTCCTATACACTGTGTGTTGATGTGTGGTAGGCGATGTGGACTGTGGCATGTTCATCACACCGCTGCCGCATGTCAAGCAGATTCAGGTGGGGAAAGGGGTGTGGTGGAGGGATGTTACATCATTACGTGTTACATGCAGTGTACTCAGGCGACTTTTGAGTCGACTCAGAAGTCACTTCGTTACATGCGATGGACTCAGGCATATGGACATCTATGCTACCCTGGCTGCCCTGGCTGCCCTGGCTGCCCTGGCTGCCCTGGCTGCCCTGGCTGCCCTGGCTGCCCTGGCTGGGCGTCAGGTGCAACATAGATGGACATGAGCATCCCTCTCTTGCCCCCTCTTGCCCTTGCGCCACTCTGTGCCCCTCTGCGCCCACATACCCTCCCAATAGGTCCCACAGGCGGGAAGCAGGGTGGTGATGGCGTCGGATGGGCTGTGAGTTCAGACGAGGCTGCATGTGTGTCCCTCTGTACCCCCCTGTGACCCTCTGCGCGTCCCACCTGCACCCTTTTGTACCCCTCTGTGCCTCTCTCCTTCCTCTCTCTAGGTCCCATCCCACAAGACGGAGGCAGGGTGGTGATGGCGTCAGATGGGCTGTGGGACGCGGTGGACTCAGACAAGGCAGCTAGGCGCTGTAGGGGGGTGTGCCCCACAGGGTGGTGCATGGAAAGCATGGTCCGGGGCACACCTCCTTTCCACATGCTGTTCATGCGCACGTTTCACACCCGCACCATGCCCCTCCCCCTTCCCTTCCTCTCTCCAGGTCCCACAAGACGGAGGGAGGGTGGTGATGGCGTCAGATGGGCTGTGGGACGCGGTGGACTCAGACAAGGCAGCTAGGCGCTGTAGGGGGCTGTGGGACGCGGGACACACCTCCTTTCCACATGCTTTTCATGGACACGTTTCACACCCGGACCATGCCCCTCCCCCTTCCCTTCCTCTCTCCAGGTCCCACAAGACGGAGGCAGGGTGGTGATGGCGTCAGATGGGCTGTGGGACGCAGTGGATTCGGACAAGGCGGCCCGGCGCTGCAGAGGGCTTCCCTGCACTGCTGCTGCCCCGCTTCTCGTAAAGGTGCGGTGCAGTGTGGTTTTGTGAGGTGCTGTGTGGTTTTGTGAGGTGCTGTGCGGTGCTGCTCGCTTGGGACGCAGTGGACTCATGCAAGGCGGCCAGGCGCTGCAGAGGGCTGCCGTGCACTGCTGCTGCTCCATTGCTAGTCAAGGTATGTAGGATGCTGTGCGATCGTGTGAGGTGCTGCTGGGTGCAGTGCTGTGTGGTGCTGTGCAGTGCTGTGCGGTGCTGCTCTATTGGGACGCAGTGGACTCAGACAAGGCAGCTGGGTGGTGCAGAGGGCTGCCCTGCATTGCTGCTGCTCTGCTGCTCGTCAAGGTGGGTTGCAGGGTGCTGTGTGGTGCTGTGTGGTGCTGTGCGGTGCAATCAGCCGATGCAGACCTGCTGTGACCTGCTGTGCTGTGCTGTGCTGTGCTGTGCTGTGCTGTGCTGTGCTGTGCTGTGCTGTGCTGTGCTGTGCTGTGCTGTGCTGTGCTGTGCTGTGCTGTGCTGTGCTGTGCTGTGCTGTGCTGTGCTGTGCTGTGCTGTGCTGTGCTGTGCTGTGCTGTGCTGTGCGGTGCTGTGCTGTGCCCTCACTGCTTCACGTCATCCCTGCCTCTCCCCCTTCCCTTGTCTCGCCCTCCCTCACACGAGTCCATCAAGGCCAAGGGCCTACGTGACAACATCACAGTGCTAGTGGTCGACCTGCTCTCTGCCTCTGCTGCTTCTGCTGCGTGCCCTCACTTCTTAACATCCCTGCCCTCTCCCCCCCTACCTTGCTCCCTTCTGTCTTGTCTTCCACCACCGCCAGGAGTCCATCAAGGCCAAGGGCCTGAGGGACGACATCACAGTGCTTGTAGTCGATCTGCTCACCGCCTCTGCTGCTGCTGACCCCTCCGCCTGCCCTGTGCCCAAGCCGCCCGGCTCCAAGTCCTTCTTTGCCAAGTTCGGGGTACGTTCAGCTGAAATTGCTGTTGTTTCGCGTTTACCTGTTTGAGTCCTTGGACGTTCAATGGCGCCTCCAAGCCAAGCTGCCCGGCTCCAAGTCCTTGTTTGCCATGTTCAGGGTACGTCTTGTTGAGCGTGCTGCGTCCGGCCGGACTGCTTGATCTTCTTGCAGTGACTCCTTGTTTTGCTCCGCTCTCGTTCTTCCCCTCGTGTCCACTGTCCAAGCAGGACAAGAGCCATTCCATTTATCTCTCCAGATCCTCCTAGAGGCCAAGTTCCCTGTCGCCCACCAGTTCAATCTATCTTTCCCAACCCTCCTCCGTCCTGTCCCTTTCCTCCACCTGCTCTACCCCCTGTCCTCACCTCCTAATCAACCGCAACTGCTCGTGTGCCTCTTTTCCGTGTCTCCCCCTCTTATTGTCCAAACAGAGCAAAAGCTACTCTAGCTATCTTTCCAAGTCCAAGAAACCCAGCTCCCTGCCACCCTCAACCCCGACACCAAGCACCGCCCCCCGCAACCCGTGGGACCAGCGTGTTCCCTTCATAATGAACGACCATGACTCGATAAGAGGCGGCGACCTCTTTGAGCGGTACCAGAACAGCTCGGTACACTCGGCAGGGAATTTCTGTGCAGTTTGCGGGCAGCAGATTGATAATTCCGAGAATGCTGAGGCGAGCGTTCGGGCAGGGAATAGGATGTGCTCGCGGCATGCTAAATGTGGGTAAATGGGTTAGGGCAGGTGAAATGGAGTGTCGAGTGAAGAGAGAATGAGATTTGTTCCCTCTGGCTGGGTGTTGCAACTAAGGTTGAGAGTGTTTCAACTTGCAATGCAACTACAAGGCTGCGCAAGCAGCTTAGAGGGTAGAGGTCTAAACTTGGCTGCCATGAATGACAAAAAAAAACAATGTTTAATACTGATTCACTACCATACACAGCTGTACAGAATCATGCATTTCCTTTTACAATTCCATACAAGCTTAGTGTAAACCGGTGCAACTCGAGATAAAAGCATTGGTTGGTGCATAGCGTTGGCGAATGGACTCAAATGGGTAATTTCATGCTGCTGAAATATTGAAGCCCCTTTCTTCAAGAAGGTTCAGACCAATGAACCTGCGGGATTGAGGGCGCAAGAGTAAACCAAGAAAGCAAACAAGAAGGGAAAAAAACTTGGGGTGGAAGCAGGGATGTACGCCGGTGAATATGAAAGGGTAATATATAAGCTATAAATCACATGTTCATCTTCAAGAGCGTCTTTTCAGAACCCCCCACTGTTTGGGTCGGCTCAACAGCCACCTCTCCACTTCCTTCACTCCATCTTCACAGCATGGTGACCTTCCGAGCATGAGGCATGTGGCATGAGGCATGTGGCCATAAAATTGGTGCCCAGGGAGGTGAGAAAGGTCGACCCATCCACCACCTGTAACGTATGGTGCACCGCATTCACTCGGTATCCCATGTACCCCTTGTCCACCCCATATGACTTTTGAGTCGACTCAAAAGTCACCAACGTATGGTGCACTGCATTCACTCGGCATCCCATGTACCCCTTGTCCACCCCATATGCACCCCATTTGAAATATTTACCTCCCGAGCATGAGGCATGTGGCCATGGGGTTGGTGCCGGGGGACGTGAGAAAGGTCGAGCCGTCAACCACCCGCAGCGCCTGCACCCCGTTCACGCGATAGCTGCTGTCCACACACACGCCCCTGTGACAGCCCCCGTGGAAATGCCAAATCACTGTTACCGTGTCCTGTGGTGGGGAGCGTGGAACGGAGGGAGAGGGGGAAGTGGGGTGAGAAGGGGGAGAGCATATACATGTTGAGGTCCCACCACTTGCAATGCCTGCATCCCGTTCACGCGATAGCTGCTGTTTACACACACGCCCCTGTGACAGCCCCCGTGGAAATGCTAAATCACTGTTACCGTGTCCTGTTGGGGGGGAAGGTGGGGGGGGAGGTAAGAAGGGGGAAGGAGGAGGGGGTTGGGGAACACTAAATGTTGTGGTTCTCAGATTCAACCAGCTCCTCGCCCCGATCACTCAACCCAAACGCAACCACAACCCAAACGCAACCCAAACCCAAACCCAAACACAAACACAACCCAGTGGAGATGCCAAATTACGGTTACTGTGTCTTGTTGGGGGGGACGTAGTGAGGAGGAGGGACGGGGTGGGAGGGAGGAGGGCGGTGAGGGAGGAGGGCGGTGAGGGAAAGGCAAAAGAAGAGAAGAGAAAAGCCAAGCCAAAAGTCATATCTTAACACAAGACTCACTGGTGTTTAGAGGGAGGCCCACCTTGCACCACTGGGCCGATGCAGTGAAGTTAGAAAGTCTGGGAGGGCAGGGGAAGCGACTTCTAAGTAGCTTTTGAGCCTTTCGGAGTCACTGCTACTCAAAGAGAGGGAGGCCCACCTTGCACCACTGGTGTTTAGAGGAAGCGACTTTTAAGTAGCTTTTGAGCCATTCAGAGTCACTGTTACTGGTGTTTAGAGCAAGGCCCACCTTGCACCACTGGTGTTAGAGCAAGGCCCACCTTGCACCACTGGGCTGACGCAGTGAAGTTGGAGACGTCTGGGAGGGCAGGGGAGGCTCCCCGGAAGTTTCCTGGCGTGATGAGTGCAGCAGTCGGGTCGAGGAGACTGCCGGGAAGGGAAGGCGCACGAGGGGCGAAAGGGAGAGAAGGGGACAAGAAGAGAAGGGAACAGAGAGATGAGAGAGAGAGAAGAGAAGAAGAAAGAAGAAAAAAAGAAAGAAGAAAGAAGAAAGAAGAAAGGAGGAGGAAGGAAGAAGAAAGAAGAAGAGAGGAGGAAGGAAGAGAAGGTCAGAGTTGGGAGTTGGCTTACAAGAGAGAGATAGGTGGGGTGTCGTAACGGAATGGAGCCATTGCGTTGGAGGCCACTATCTTGGTGAGCAGCTGCGCTCCCCTCACACACGTGGCCACGTCCTGATACAGATGAGGGAGAGAGAGATGGGTGACATAAGTGGGAGGTGGAGGAGAGGGAGGGGGGATGAGGAGGAGAGGAGCGAGCACAGATGCGCGGTGGATGAGCGTCCCTCACAGGATCACATGGTAGTTGTGAGGAAGGCCCACCTTGCACCACTGGGCCGATGAGTCTAGTTTTGAGGCGCCTTAAAACTAGGCGTCCCACACAGAATCGCATGGTAGTTGTGAGGGAGGCCCACCTTGCACCACTGGGTCGATGAGCGTCCCTCACAGGATCACATGGTAGTTGTGGGGGAGGCAATGCGCATAAATGCTGCGAGCTTAAGGCGCTGTGAGCTTTACGAACCATGTGATAAAAGTAGTCATTTGAGATGTGCTTAAGAATTATAAACTTAGTATGTTTTTTTAGAATTCTCAAAAAACAAACTCAGCACAGGACCATACCTGAGGGGCGAAGAAGTAGTTGTATCGCACGATGGGGTTGTCAGAGGTGTTGAGAGGGATGCGAGGGTTAGGGAGGTGAGGGAGGTGAGAGGTGAGAGACACACCTGTAGCTTACCATAACCGGTAGCACTAAAAGCCCGTAGCACTAAAAGCCCGTAGCACTAAAAGCCCGTAGCACTAAAAGCCCGTAGCACTAAAAGCCCGTAGCACTAAAAGCCCGTAGCACTGAAAGCCCGTAGCACTAAAAGCCCGTAGCACTAAAAGCCCGTAGCACTGAAAGCCCGTAGCACTGAAAGCCCGTAGCACTGAAAGCCCGTAGCACTAAAAGCCCGTAGCACTAAAAGCCCGTAGCACTAAAAGCCCGTAGCACTAAAAGCCCGTAGCACTAAAAGCCCGTAGCACTGAAAGCCCGTAGCACTGAAAGCCCGTAGCACTGAAAGCCCGTAGCACTAAAAGCCCGTAGCACTAAAAGCCCGTAGCACTAAAAGCCCGTAGCACTAAAAGCCCGTAGCACTGAAAGCCCGTAGCACTAAAAGCCCGTAGCACTAAAAGCCCGTAGCACTGAAAGCCCGTAGCACTAAAAGCCCGTAGCACTGAAAGCCCGTAGCACTAAAAGCCCGTAGCACTAAAAGCCCGTAGCACTAAAAGCCCGTAGCACTGAAAGCCCGTAGCACTAAAAGCCCGTAGCACTGAAAGCCCGTAGCACTGAAAGCCCGTAGCACTAAAAGCCCGTAGCACTAAAAGCCCGTAGCACCGTACCTCAGGAGCAGAGAAGTAGTTGTAGCGCACGATGGGGTTGTCAGAGGCATTGAGGGATGCGAGGGTTAGGGAGCCTCGAGAGGCCGGCAGGTAGACCTGTGGCCGAGAGGGGCCATGAGGGGGAGAGGGGCCATGAGAGGGAGAGGGGCGATGAGGGGTAGAGGGGCCATGAGGGGGAGAGGGGCGATGAGGGGTAGAGGGGCGATGAGGGGGAGAGGGGCGATGAGGGGTAGAGGGGCCATGAGGGGGAGAGGGGCGATGAGGGGTAGAGGGGCCATGAGGGGGAGAGGGGCGATGAGGGGTAGAGGGGCGATGAGGGGTAGAGGGGCGATGAGGGGTAGAGGGGCGATGAGGGGGAGAGCCAAGGGTGGGAGAGGGGTGATGGGGGGGAGAGGGGTGATGGGGGAGAGAGGCGAGGGGGCGATGAAGGGGAGAACGGCAGCATGGCTTCAATCATCGCCCTCCATCTGCCCCGTGTGGTTCATGGGCGGGGGGCTGTGTTGAGCGCTACATGACCCCACCGCACTGCACCACTCCCTACCTTGTGTAAGATGAAGCCAGCTTGATTCAGAGCGTCTTGAATGAAGCCGGGGATGAACGGCAGCATGGCTTCAATCATCGCCTCTGTCTCCCCCGTGCGGTTGATGGGCGGGGCTGTGTTGAGCTCGCCTGCTCCCGGCCAGCTGAGAGTGTGGTTCGACCCCGATGCACCCTCTATGATGTTACCTTCCGGTGTCACAGCCACGAACTGACGAGAGGAGGGAGGGGGCGAACAGGAGGGCAGGAGAATGGGAATGACAGAGAGAAGGAGTATAGATGAAGCTGTGTTGAGCTCGCCTGCTCCCGCCCAGCTCAGAGTGTGGTTCAACCCTGATGCACTGCACCCTCTGTGATATAGTGTAGCCCTCTGGTGTCACAGCCACGAAGTGGAAAACAGGAGGGGGAGAGAGCGAATAGGAGGGCAGGGGCAAGGGAGAGGAGCACAGGAGAATGGGAAGGAAGGAGAATAGGCAGGAGGCTGTGTTGAGCTTGCCTGCTCCCGGCCAGCTGAGCCTGTGGTTCAACCCTGATGCACTGCACCCTCTGTGATGTAGTGTAGCCCTCTGGTGTCACAGCCACGAGCTGGAGAACAGGAGGGGGAGAGGAAGAGGCGAAAAGGAGAATGGATTGCAGGAGTATTCAGAGGAGCTGTGTTGAGCTCGCCTGCTTTCGGCCAGCTCAGCGTGTGGTTCGACCCCGACGCGCCCTCCCCTAGTCACCCACCTGCAAGGACGACTCCTCAACAGGCCTGGGCGACAACACGTTGATGCCGTTAATCGGCACGCCAGTCACGTTCACGCCCACCCCCGGCACCACCACTACATCCATCTCAGCAGCAACAGCCACCCCTACACCTACCTGCAAAGACGACTCCTCAACAGGCCTGGGCGACAGCACGTTGATGCCGTTAATCGGCACGTCAGTCACGTTCACACCCAACCCATGCCAGCCCCCACACACATGACCCCTATCCATCCACCCCCCGTCCACCCTACCTGCAAGGACGACTCCTCAACAGGCCTGGGAGACAGCACGTTGATGCCGTTAATCGGCACATCAGTCACGTTCACGCCCACCCCCGGCACCTCCACCACCACCGGCACCCCCAGCGGTTCCAGCTTCTCTCTGGGTCCCAGCCCGCTCAGCAGCAGCAGCTGCGGTGACCCAAGCGCACCCGCTGCCAGCAGCACCTCGCCTCCCGGGTTTAAACGCGCGATGTGGCGGCGGTTGGTGCTGTCTGTGAACACCACGCCTGCTGCTCGTGGGGTGCCTGTCAGGGAGGGGAGGGGAGGGGAGGAAGGGGGTAGGGACGATGGCTGCGGCAACCCCAGTGCGCCCACTGCAAGCAGCACCTCGCCTCCTGGGTTCAACAGGGCTGTGTGGCGGCGGTTGGTGCTGTCTGTAAATACCACTCCCACTGCTCGTGGGGTGCCTGGGGGGTGCGAGAGGGGAGGCAGGGCAAGGGCCGATGGGAGCAGAAGGAGTAGGGAAGGGATGGAAGTTGGATCATTATGCACCACGAACCATGCACCACGCACCATGAACACACACACATACCGCTTGTGACATCCATTTTTGAGTCGACTCAAAAATCGGCCATGCACCACGCACCATGAACACACACACATACCGCTACTGATGTCCAGCAGGATGCGCTGCACCGTGGCATATGCAAGCACTGTCAGCTCAGCCGGGATGGGTCTCCCCAATCACATCAGCACCCAACACACACGCACCACGCACCATGCACCACAGGGCAACAGCACCAAGCAAACGTACCGCTAGAGACGTCCAGCAGGATGCGCTGCACCGTGGCATATGCAAGGACGCATGCATCAACATACGCATACGCATGGCATATGTGCACAACACACACACATACCGCTTGTGACGTCCAGCAGGATGCGCTGCACCGTGGCGTATATGAGCACTGTCAGCCGGGATGGGTCTCCCGCCTTGAGCAGATCCGCTGCTGACCTGCGCGTGCCGTTGCTGTCGAATATGCTGTTGGCCAGCTGTGGGAGCAGGGGGGTTGGGGAAGAATGCGGCGGATGGGTAGGGGTAAGGAGTGGGGAGGAGTGGAGAGGAGTGGGAGGGGTGTCTCCCGCTTTGAGCAGGTCTGCTGCTGACCTGCGCGTGCTGTTGCTGTCGAATATGCTGTTGGCCAGCTGTCACAGAGGGGGAGTGGGGAGGAGTGGGGAGGGATGGTGAGGAGTTGAGAGGGAAAGAAATGGGCATTGGGAAGGATGTCTCCCGTCTTGAGCATGTCTGATACTGTCCTGCGCGTGCCACTGTTTTCCACTATGTGCTACCGAGCAGTGAAAGCAGGGGTGGGGAGGAGTGGTGGGGGTTTTGGAAGGAGGAAAAGGAGAGAAAGGGGATCTGCGTGATGCCACTGCTGCCAAATAAGCTGCTCATCAGCTGCCGTTGCATTCACACGCCTTACAAATCACAAATCACATCTCACCTTGGTCCCAATCACGTGCTCCGGAGTCTGTCCCCTCCACGGCCCCAGCCCCGCCTCCAACATGCCATTCCTGAACGCCTGCTGCCACCCCCCCGGCTCCTGCTCCCTCTTCTCTCCCCCCCAACCCCTTTCCTGTCACACACTTTTTATCCTCGTTATAGTGCTCACATTGGTCCCAATAACATGTCCCGGAGTCTGCCCCCTCCACGGTCCCAGCCTCGCCGCCAGCATGCCATCCCTGAACGCCTGCTGCCACCCCCCCGGCTGCTGCTGGCTCGTTTTCCCCCAATCTTCTTCCCCACCTTTGTAATCACTCTTTCTATCCTCGTTAAAAGACAATATCTCACCTTAGTTCCAATAACATGCTCCGGAGTCTGCCCCCTCCACGATCCTAATCCCGCCTCCAGCCTGCCATTCCTGAACGCCTGCTGCCATCCCCCCAGCTGCTACTCTGTTTTCCCTCGCTCTCTCTACCTCGCTCCTTCCACACTCTTTATAATCATACCTTTCACTTCGTTACAGCCACGATATCTCACCTTGGTCCCAATCACGTGCTCGGGCGTCTGACCCCTCCACGGCCCCAGCCCCGCCTCCAGCATGCCATTCCTGAACGCCTGCTGCCACCCCCCTGCCTGCTGCTGCCTCTCCCCCCCACCCTTCTTCTAGTCACACCATTTCTATCCTCGTTTTAGTCACAGCAAGCATCTCACCTTGGTCCCAATCACGTGCTCGGGCGTCTGCCCCCTCCACGGCCCCAGCCCCGCCTCCAGCATGCCATCCCTGAACGCCTGCTGCCATCCCCCCGGCTGCTGCTGAGGCACAAAGGCGATTCTCTCCTCCACCCACTCGAATGCCTGCCGCACCCTCACTGGGTCCCACCCTGCTGCCTGGATGAAATCCGCTGACGCCCGGCTGGAGTGGGGGGAAGGTGGGGTGGGGACGGGGGAACAGAGAAGGGGAGTGAGAGGTGGGAAAGGAGGAGGGTCGGACGAAATCAGCCGGTGCCAGAAGGTGCTTGCATCAAAGGTGCGTGCATCTTCGAAGGCAGGAGAGACTTACCTCACCGAACACTCATCAAACAGTCACTGAACATTCAGCAGTACCTGTGAAAGCCAGCGTTGACAAGAGTTGCCAACACCCAGCTCAACCCCCCTCCGGCTCCACACTCTATAAGGTCGTTTTTGAGGCGCCTAAAAAAAAACCGGCTCCACACTCTAAGGCATAGCCGAGGAGCTTTCACCTCCAAATGGAAATTACCTAAGTTGCAGGTCAAGTAGCACAACCCTAGTTTATGTGCTGATTTGTGGGCTCAATACCCGCCTGGTCCTGTAGATTTCAAAAATCTCAGACGTTGACATCCATTGCAGATATCCGCAAGAAAAATACAAAATTCGGTCTAGAAACTTTTTCGCCTTCGTACCTGTAGAAGCCGGCGTTGACAGAGCTGCCACCGCCCAGCACGATTCCCCTACGATTCCACACGCCATCCTCTGACCGGAAGGGCACCGATGCTCTCGTGCTGAGCACATAGGGGAAGGCCTCCCTTCGGTACACCGAGGGCTGAGGGGCAGGAAAAACGGGGAATGCAGAGAGGCAGAAGGGGTGAGAGAGGTGCGTGACTGGGAGCTGGGGGATCCGACCGGAAGGGCACTGACGCCCTCGTGCTGAACACGTAGGGAAAGGCCTCTCGACGGTACCCTGATGGCTGGGGGGAAGGGGAAGGGGAGAGGAGAATGAGGTGCGGGGGAGGGGAGTGAGCGGGTCAACCAAGGGCACAGCCGCCCTTGTGCTGGGAGATAGGAAAGGCATCCCTTTGGTACACTGAGGGCTGCAAGTTGTGGGGAAAAGAGGAGGATGGACCGTCAGCCATCCTCCTCGTGGGGAAAAGAGGAGGATGGAGTGGGTGGGGAAGGGGGAGGAGGGGGGTACGGAGCAGGGAAAAGGGTGAGACAACCAAGGGCACAGCCGCCCTCGTGCACGGTTGTCCACTAATCGAGCACCAAGTAGGTGCCATGGTTTCAATATGTGGCAGCAAACTCTTTGGGATGACACCTGGAACGATGTTTCGTGCACGGCACTCCCCCCCACGTACGGGCACACCTGGTTGTAAGGCTCCTTTCTCTTTACAGCAGCAGCACGGAGAAACCCTTGAAGAGGGCGGCAGGCAGGCAGGCAAGGGAAGAGGAGAGAGAAGGTGGAGACACGATGGTTCACCCACCTGTATTGAGGGGTTTAAAGGATTCCCCAGTACTGCTTGCAGCAACATACCTGGTAAAAAGGATTCCCCAGTACTGCTTGCAGCAACATACCTGGTAAAAAGGATTCCCCAGTACTGCTTGCAGCAACATACCTGGTCGTAGGGCACGCCGCCTCTTTCCAGGAGCAGCACGGAGAAGCCTTTGGAGAGCGTGGCGGCCAGGGGGCACCCCACTGCACCGCCTCCCACCACTATGTAGTCGAACGTGGGGGAGGGCGCGGAGGGGGCGGAGGAGGCGGAGAGGGTGGAGGTGGGCGGAGGAGTGAAGGTGGCGGCGTCTCGAATGTAAGGGTAGAGCTGGCTCCAGTTGGGGCCTGTGGTGGGAGGGGGGGAAAGGGGAAGAGAGGCAAAGGGAGGGGTGAAAGAGAGGGGTTGAAAGTGGTGGGCGGGGGAGTGAAGGTGGCGGCGTCTCGAATGTAAGGGTAGAGCTGGCGCCAGTTGGGGTCTGTGGTGGGAGGGGGGGAAAGGGGAAGAGAGGCAAAGGGAGGGGTGAAAGAGAGGGGTTGAAAGTGGTGGGCGGGGGAGTGAAGGTGGCGACGTCTCGAATGTAGGGGTAGAGCTGGCGCCAGTTGGGGTCTGGAGGAGGGGGAGGGGGGAAGCGGAAGAGGGGCAAAGGGAGAGGGGGAGACGGAGAGGGTTAAAAAAGAGGGGGTGAAAGAGAGGGGTTCAAGGAGGGGAGTTGAAAGAGATGGGGAGGAGTGAAGGTGGTGGTGTCGCAGATGTAGGGGTAGAGCTGGCGCCAGCTAAGGTCTGAGAGGTAGGAATGGGACGAGATGGGAACGAAGAGAAGAGCGAGATGGGGACGAGATAGGAACGGGGCAAAGAATGAAACACCAAGCACAAGGACATTTGTCATGGGGAAGGGATGAAATTAAGGGAAAGAGAAACGAAGAAAATGTCCGTAGTCCCCTTAGCTAGGCTCTTGCCTTGAGCATAAGCACACTCCAACAGAATTGCTCAGTTGACTTCAGAGTCGACTCAAAAGTCATCCCCAGTCACCTTAGCTGGACACTCAACCTTGAGCATATGGAAATCACTTTTGAGAATACTCAAAAGTGATTTCCATATAGCTATTTTACGCATCCATCTTTTGAGAATTCTCAAAATCCATCTCTAGTCACCTTAGCTGTCACTCACCTTGAGCATAAGTGTGCTCGATCAGATGACTTTTGAGACGTCTCCAAAGTCAAAAGTCGTCCCTTAGCTGAACACTCCGATGAACATCGTAAGCTCGAACAGATGACTTTAGAGCAGATGAACATGTCTCGAAAGTCAAAAGTCGTCCCTTAGCTGGGCAGTCACCTTGAGCATTAGAAGGCTTGAACACAACAGCTGCCGCCGCCAGCACTGCCGCTAAGACCACACCACGCCGTCCCGCCAACCAGGCGTTGCCACGTGTTCCACTCCGCGCCATGTCGCGGTTCGCAGGCCCGTTGGGAGGAGAACAGCCGAGGAAAAGCGGGCAGTTGCAGTAGTTATATCGAGACGCCAAGAAGCAAGACTCTCTATACTAGTATCCAATCAGTCGCAGAAGTTTAGCCAGACCAGGCGATATATACTGTATCAAGCGAGATCGGCTGGTCGAGTAGAAGAAGATGGGCAGTTGAATGTTAGCTTTGAGATGTCTCAAAACCCGTTGCGAGGATGTCGAGCGCAGTGTTATTGAATGATCATAAGTGAATAAGCGGAAACGGGGATAATCGTTTCGAAAGAAGTACTGGAGAGCTTTGCCCCTTAGCCACGAAAGCGAGGGGATGATGGCGTAGCAGTGCCCGGCTGGACGCGCGAGCCCCGGAGCGCTCGTCACAAGGCGCGTGTGCGCTGGCACGGTTCGGACTTCGCGACAGTCTCGAGCCGCCTCGGATGTGCCGCGTCGGGCTTATATGGAGTGGTCGGAGGGCGGGGAAGGCAAGAGCAATGGCGTGACTACTAGCTCAGGTAAAAAACCATGATTTCCCCGAACTGCCCAAACTGCCCGGACCAGTCCGAAGCCAGCTGTCTCGAGTGTTCTTGGTTTTGGCAGCGGGAGCCATGACGGGACTAGCTCAGGTTGAAAACGTTAAGGCTCCAAGACTGCCGGGTTGCTCCCAAGCCAGCTGTTCCGACTGTTCTTGGTTTCGCCGGCAGGAGCCATGACGGGACTAGATCAGGTTGAAAACAAGAAGTCTCCGAGACCGCCGGGTTGCTCCCAAGCCAGCTGTTCTGACTGTTCTTGGTTTCGCCGGCAGGAGCCATGATGGGACTAGCGTGCCGGGATAGGTGTTGGCTCTGGTGACTGGTTTTGGCAGCGGGAGCCATCATGGGACTACCTAACATGGTATCCCAGCGGGATAGATATTGGTTTTGGTGGCCACGCGACGTGGGGGATGACTTGACAGTTCACGGCGACGCACTAGTCGTACCCATCGAACGTCGGCGCGAGACTAGACTAGAACACTGATTGGTTCAACCAGAAGTTCTGGTGACTTTGACTGACATTGACGCTGCATCGTTTGTGGCGTTCCATCGGCACGCGTGAGTGTGCGACAAAGACTAGTTAACATCATGTTTATGATAAACCCTTGTCTCGAATAAGGACTAGACGGACGTGACGGAGCGGCGGATACGCCATGCGACATCTGAGCGAAACAGTTGGGGTTCTTCCCACAGGCGATGATTGCGACAAAAAAGCCCGCGGTAGTGGGTGGACAAGCTCGGCTTGTATCATTCGGCGGCGATGGAGGAACAAGCGAGGGGGAGTGTGATGCTACCGAGACGAGAGGTCGGGACAAGAGAATGTGACAGCCGACTCGGTCGGACCGCCGAACTCTGATAAGAATTGACGTGGCCTCAGTTGCCACAACAACAGGTTGCAGCGTGCGTGCGGATCGACGACAGCTGCGCGACGGTAATTCCGAGACTGCGGTGCAGAGGATGCGGATTCCAGAATCGCTGTATGTGAAAAAGTGGCTCGCAAGTCACATCGTTCCGTCGAGTCCAAACTAAAAAAGACTGCTACCACGAGGAGGATGGATGAGCCAAGGAAGATAAAGATGGGCTGCAGGTCTCTAAAGAGAGAGACTCAAGTCGAGAGCAGAAACGCAGGAAAGCGACAGCCGTGGCGCTATCAACCCCTGAATCTGAGCGGGAATTGTAGTAGCAGGTCGAGAAACCAAGAAGCAATGGGACGGAAGTCCTTGATGCGGTTCGGTTGAGGCGACTTTTCACCGTTGATTTTCTGACGGATATCGAAGATGGACGATAGACATTGACATGTGATCTGTCTTGTGGCCATTCGCGCTATAGTTCGCCAGCCATACAATTGAATGAACGGACCAAACAAGTGAAACCAAAGGGGGTTTTAATAACGCAGTATAATCTTCTACCCTAAGTGTCTTGTTTGTTGGTATGTGCATATTTCCCCGAATTTCTCTCCACATTTGAACAGCTTGTAGATTCTGATTTGATCTGAGCCATAATGCAAGTCATTTTGAAATGGCTCACTTGCACGCAAAGAGAAACTAAACAGCTGTGTTTACAGACATTTATTAAAACAAGAAACTATCTAGCAGCAAATGAATAAATAAATTGGTTGAAACCGGCTGAAGAATCGAAGTGCAGCAAGACAGGAAATCCGTCCTTTCCTCACAAGCCCTTAAAATAAACCTCTCCCATATCCGCGAAACCAGCGTCTAAGGAAGCGGCGAAGCCGGAGGGAACCAAGTGCAGTTCCACGAATACGCAAAGTTGGCGTAGGTACACTTCCGCGGGGATTCATTCCAGCAGGAGCTAGGAGCCGCGCAGGACCCAGTGCCGCAAGGAAGCCGCGAGCAGCACATGCACTGCGAGTAACACTTGTTGTAATTTGTCGTCTGCTGCGTGGACGTCCCTCCAAGCGACACCTTCACATCCGTGCACGAGTTCTGACACGTCGTCATTTGAAAATCGCAGCACTTGCCCGCCGCATCGCCAAGCATTTGCGAGCAATCCGTATCCAACGGCTTCCAGTTGGGATATGGACAAATCGACCAGGTGCAACCATACCCGGAGAGTGGCGCCAGCCCGGTTCGGCCGAAGCAAGCGGCATTGCAGCCTGCGCAGACGTCATTCTGGGCCAGCGGCACGGCGTAGTTGCAAACCGCATCGCAGTACGAGGGGTACGTCACGTAGTCTGCTCCGCAGACCGGGAGCGACGCCGAGCACTGACAGTCGATAATCCCCACGCGGGAATCACACGGGATGATCAGGGAGGAGTTCACTACGAGGGGCGAAGTTTCGAGGATGTTGTTTTGGGCGGCGATGGCGGCGGGAGAGACGGAGGCTGGGATGCAGCGGTTGATGAAATTGGAGGAGATGAGAGCGAGTGTGTCCCCGTCCTTGACCTTGTATACAGAGTAGCTTGTGTTGGAAGTCGCAACCAAAGTGGCGAGTACGGGCGAGTTGATGCAGACCTTCTGGCCCACTTGCAGGTAGGGCGCCTGGCACTGGTGGGATGAGGGGGGAGAGAAAAAGAGTCTTGAGAGAAAAAAAAAAACAAACAAAAAAACAAAACAAAAAGGGAGAGTGCGTGTCTCCCTGTGCAGAGTGCGGGGGAGGTAAGACCTCAGGCTTACCCGGATGCCGGGGTTGATGGCGAGGAAGGTCTGCTCTGTGAGGTTGGCTGCGTTCCAGATGTTGGGGCAGTTGTCACCCTGCAGCACCGTGTACCATGTGGTGCAGTTGACTGTGGTCTGCACAGGGGGAAGAGGGAAGGTGGGGATGGGGATGGAGGAAAAAAAAGGGAGATAAGTGGACTGCCGCACCATGTGTGCTTATGACTTACTGTGGTCAGAGCGGAGGGAGGTCGGGGAGATGGTGTGAGAAAGAGAAGAGAAAGTGGTAAGGCGGTGAAGCAAGAAACTTTCACACGGATACAGAGAGACTGGAAGACGGAGCAACAGACACACCAGACATACTAGTGCAGATTGTTGACTCACCTGAGCAGACTTAGGAGCTACGCAAAGGTAGGAGCCAATGGGAAGAGAGCCGGTGCAGGAGAGTCCAGGATTCAACCTGTGGATTAGAAGCGACAGATAACGTTCAGAAGACAGGAGAAGAGATGAGACTCGCTGCTGCGGGCGAATCCGGATGATTCTTGCAATGTAATGGACATGGTTCACCACAAAGAGACGATGTGCGAGCGATGTTTCAGAGGAAAAAGAGGTAGGGGGGAGGAGCGGGAAGGAGCGGGGAGGAGCGGGGAGGAGTGGGGAGGAGTGGGGAGGAGCGGGACTCACCCAGTGAAGTTTGTGAGAGAGATGAGGAACTTGGTCGCCACGGACGAGCAAGTGTCGCCAGCCACAGAGGAGTACGTTTGGCCGCACTGCGGCACCGCCACGCTGGTAACCGCAGTGGTTACGCTCGTGCAAATCGCCTGGGACGGGTACACTGGGCGGCTGGACGTGCACACGAGGGGGTTGGCCTTTTGGAGGTTGGACAAGCTGCCCGCGAAAAAAGTGTTGGCGAGGGAGGTGCAGTTGTCGGTGGCAGTGACGATGTAGGTTGCAGTGCAGATGGGAGAGGAGGATGTGCTTGCATTGGAGACGGTAACAGCGAATCCTGGATGGATGGGATGGGGAGACAGTTGGGCGGGGGAGGAGGGGGGGGGGGGAGTAGGCAGGTAAGAATGAGGACCGGAGTAGGCAGGGCAGGAGCTGAATACACGCGTCAACATTCGAAGAAAACACTTACAGAAGGACTTACCAGGAGGGATTTACGTGAGCGAGCAGTTAAGGGGTTCGGCAAATGAGAATGTCAAGAAGTCAAGAGAAAACAAAATACAGGGGGACTTGCATGAGGAATGTACAATTGCAAAATTGACAGGGGACTTACCAGGAGGGATGTACATAAGCGAGCAGTTGAGGAAGGGATTCAACAGAGAGAGGGTAGTGGTGGTGATGCCAAACGCTGCCGCCACAACCTGAGGAAACGCGTGGGAAGACATTAGATGAGGGAGAAACGAGACAATGGAGAAATTAGGAATGAGAACGGCGCAACGTGGAGCTCACAGGCTCAGAAACGAACTTGGAGAGGAAGGACAGAAGTTGACACATGTACAGCAACAGAACAAGCGAACTTACAGAGCAGGAGTCGCTGGGGACAGTGGTATATGTGATTGTAGAGGAGGATGTGATTGTGGAGGACAATGTGACAAAACAGAGGCCGAGCTTACAGAGCAAGAGTCGCCGGGGACAGTGGTGTATGTGATTGTAGAGCTAGATGTGGTTGCCACTCCCACGCACGTCTGCGTGCCGTCAGAAGCCGCTCCAATGGCGTAGCCCTGAAAGGGACAGAGGAAGGAGGAATAGAGAGGAGGAAAAGGAGTGAGACGACATATCAAGGCGGAGCGGAGAGGAGGAGGCGGAGGAGGACGAGAAAGACATTGTCAAAGTGGAAGACAATAACTCGAAGGTGAAAAATCCAGGACTATAAATCGTTGCAAAGGCAGCAAGCACGAGTGGGAACGTACGACAGGGCAAGAGCAGGCGTAGGAGCCGTCGCCGGGGTTGCTGCAGGAGCCAGCGCCGCAAGGGTTGATGTTCGTCTTGTTGCACGGAAACCGAGGCACACATTTCGCCGTCGGCACTCCCAAGACTTCGACAAAGTTCGTCAACCCGCTGCAGTCGCAGCGTGCGATTCCGTTTTTGGTGTAACAGGTGCCGCGTCCGCATGGGTTGATGAGTTTCTGGCATGCGTCGGAGTTGACGGTGTAACCCTTGTTCCACCACTTTCCGTCATCGCCGTCGTCTTTCCGGCTGACGGGACCGTTGGAAATCTTGACGGGCTGAGGACCGAAGGGGTAGTACACCGGGTACATGGCGGGAATTCTGGAGGGGGAACAGTAACATGGAAACAGTAAAATGCGTTAATTAATGGGGGAAAAAATGACTACTTAGCAATCCAGAATATAGACCCCAAAATGGCATGAAGACAGTGTGGACGCTTACGCGTGAATCCCGCATTTTCCGCGAATGTCTGGCGACATGGCGAGATACATGTAACCGTCGTCGCCCCACGTTTCGAACCACGAGTTCTTGATGATCCAGTAGCTGCCATTGGTGCTGCCCGTGTAGTTGAATCCAACGACGACAACCGCATGATTGATATCCGTCGTGCACAGCCCGTCGTAGATCTTCACCATGTCACGCGAGGTGTACATCTGCAGATCAAACATCGATAAAAGAACTCGATATCAGTAAGCGCAACAAGAAAGAATACGATCGATGCAAATTACAATACAGCAAAGCCTCACGATCTAATCACCTGGAAGTCCTTAGACGAGCCGCTAAGGAAGGCGACCACGGGCTGCATGCTGACGGCCTTCATTAAAGCCATGGCGTTGTAAGGCGGCACGAGCTCCCAGCCGGTAATCTGCGTCCAGCGCAGAGTAAGGTCACAGGGTTACGGTGAATACAAGGATAACGAGTTTTATCAGCAGGTCGGAAAATCGACGTGGACAAGACACGGGTAGTCGCTCAATCGGCTACCTTGCGCCGCTAACGATCGAGAAAGGCGTCGCCCGCCTCAGCAGCGCTAGGGATCGACACGTCAATGCTGCATAGCTGGTTGTCCTGCGCGACATAGCTGTAGTCGAGTTTTGAGACGTCTCAAAACGCACCTGAGCGGCATTAGGGATCGACGCATTGATGCTGCATAGCTGGTTGTCCTGGGCGATATAGCTGTAGTCGTCAACGGACTGAATCCCGCCGTTGAAGAGCACGTATGAGAAGGCCCAGTCAGGCCAGCCGCCCTGGCAGCACTGCTTCGTCGCGCAGTCGCACACCTGCTGCGGCGACAGCACTGCGGGGGTGTTCCTGGTCGTGATCGCCCACATCATGGCGATGGAATCGACGGCTGCGATCACCCAGCAGCTCGCGCACTGAAGGAACGAAGCACGAGGATGGAGGGAGGGAGTGAAGGGAGCTTTAAAGGAAGCACTACTATAAAGCGGGAACGACGCGCTGCGGTCTTTGAGACCGTCTCAAAACAGTAAATGCGTGAGTACTGGGTATGAAGCGGGTAACGCAGAAAAACAAACGCTTTTTACGTGAAAGCCTTTGAGCGCCAAAAATAGGCATTCTAACAACACCCCACCTGGAACTGGCGCTGGATTGGCGAAATGTATTTCGTCTGTCGCCAGTCGACGGTGGCGTTGGGGGCGACAGAATCGTAACGGAAGAACGTCCCGTTAACATCCGCCATGCTCGGACCGGAGTTAAGAGGCGGCGGGTTGAGACCGAGCTGCTTCCCCCTGCCATCTTTGAGCTCGCGACGTCGCGATTGCGTTTCCGCGGAGGCATCATCACCCGCAGCGTCGTCGTCATTATCGTCGACGTCGTCATCGTCGTCGCTTCGTCGTAGCATTGCTCGGCTGAGTCGCGCTGCGTTTAGCTGCATGCGCTCCTCGGCGGACATAGAAAGGGTTTCCATCATCGCGATTTCGAATTGCGTGCGGACTTCGGCGACCTCTGTCGCGGCGAGAGCGGCGCAGCATGCGGTGATAGCGAGAAGCAGTAGCAGCCTATGTGATACTGTTACATGCCGCTGACTCGTCAGACGAGCCGCCATCACGAATTCGTAGGAGTTTGAAAAACGACAGCTGGGTACTCCAGGAAGTGCACTTTGGAGTGAGGCTGAGGGACGTGACAAATGTATACACAGGGCTCCTATGAAGGACGAACTACTAATAGAGAAGTGGGAAGGGAAGTATGAGAAGTACGGTCAGAAAGGGTTGACGTGGATGAAATAGCCGACAGGAGGAGCAAACGGGAATGGGTGAGGAGCAAAGCGTCACCTGGCCTCAGGTAAGGTTGTTAGGCTGGTCTGATGTGTTGACTCACTCACTGCCAAAATGCCTTATCTCCCTCACTCAGACGCACAAGAATTTTAGCAAGTTTTGTTACACGTACCGTACTCTTTACCTCGAAAATGTACTTGAACTGTTTCAACCACGTGAAAAGCCGTCAAAACTAGAATGTCTTCCGCCCCACTTCGTACTACAATTTTTCAGGTTGCGCCAGGCTGGGTGGGAGGGGCATTCGACGAGAGGGGATGGATGGAATGGTGGGTGGTGGGTATGGTTGTCTGCTCTGTGGTTGGCTGTTGGCTGCTCCGTTTGCAAGGTTGGTGCGATGTGATTCGGCAGGAAGCCTGAGGGTACGCTGCGCTGATGGTGGTGGGTGGTTGGTTGGTTGGCTCTCTCTGCCCCCTCCCGCCCCGACCACACACCCCCCCCACCCCGGACCCCGCTTCCCCCATTCCCCGCTCGTCTCTCCACTTGTGGGAGATGGGGCAAATTGTCGGTTGCTTGCTTGCTGGTCTGTGTGACGTGTTCCCGTCCCGGCACGACAGTGACAGACTATGTTTTCGCAAGGGACATGAAGTGAACCCTCCCTCAGGCTGCCTGCTGCTCATCGGACCTCACATTTCCTTCGAATCAGACATAATGAGCGGACAAGACATGTCACAGAATCGACGACATCAGTCGTCGTCTGCCCGTTGGATCCTCGCCTGGGGTTTCTCTGTTGAGAAAAACTGAGGGTGCGTCTCGAAAGTACATTTACATCTCATTTCGTGAAAAGTAACCACAATCTGGCTTCTCGCCTCTCGGCAACCCATTCGTCTGGACACGGCACCAGAGTGTACAAAAATTACTACCGCGCTTTTCATGCTGGGGTTGGTGCAGTACAGACAGCGATGGAACATAGCTTTGACTACCTGGAACAAATCGGAAACCACAGCGAAGAGAACCAAGTTCGCCGCATCGCCCTTGGGCGAACTCATCCTGCTGTCGCAAATTCATCTGCGCGAATCAAGCTGGTCATGTTCTTTTCCCCCCTCATGAGTTACACCATTTCGCGAGGGAAATAGGTTCGCGGCAACCTGGACCTGGTGCCAGGCCGAGATCTGAACTACATGTCAAGGCACTGTAAAACCGCGAGTGTGTGTCCACTTTTTGGAAGTCGAAATATTTCACTGGCATATGTACGTACTTGGAACGTGTATAAACGGCCAAGGTAGATGCGTCTTCTACATAAATCTGTCTCCAAAAATTGCGTACGTACTTTCGGGACCCGCCCTAAACCACGAACACTGTTCTGCTCTCGACATGTCTGGATCTGTGCACGTACTCAAATTTCGGGTACTAATAGTACTCGCCCTAAAGCTCCGCACATCCGAATGGAACATCCCATGACCTGTCAATGTCAAACAAAAACCGGGCATTTTCAAGCCGTGCACTCTATCCACCTCGTGTTTCCTTGATGCCTCTCTCGGACCACCATAGCACGCTTAAGTGTCTACCGTCCAACTGTTAAAAATACGTTTGGACAAGTCGGCCTTGTGAATGTGAGCATACATCGCGATGTGGTGATATCTGCAAATGCCTTTTAGCCGCAGTGGAGTGAATCTTGAAAAGAGCCGACGAAATTATATCAGGAGAGCCTTCTAACCTGAGTACAACGAGTCAGGTCTCCATGTGATTAGGAAAACTGAGATTCTAATTAGTACAGCCCCAAGTTGCACAGTCACGCATCCGTCGGATCTAACCCCCCAACAACCCAGCACACAGCTGGACAGCCCGACAATGCCAAAGTTCCAGCTGTGAAGGAGGGGACCAGGGGGGTTCAACACTCGTCAGGGAGTTTGTGACGTGGCCTGGTTTGGGATGCGACGAAAGAAGTGCCGTTATAAAGGAAATATTCTTTTGTTAACCGTAACTACACGAAAGTATCAGTTTGAATAACTACAGATCATGCATCCATGTTTCACAAACCTATAGCAAGGCATACAGCACTGACCATTTTTCAGAGTCACCTTTTCTGTAGACTGTACCTCTTGTGGGGTTTTAATCTTTACCCTCATCATCATAGCATGCCCCAAACTTGCCGCTTAGCATTTTCCAGTATTCATCCGCTGCCGATATATCACAGCTCAATCCATGCACCCATGCTCTAAAGCACTGATTGCATTCTTTTGCCTCCATTGAGATCCATGCTTGTGCAAAAAGGCCAACACAACACATGTTACAATATCTGGGGAGCTAACTCAATGCCACATTATTTTTATTGCAAAATGGAAACCTGAAAATCATAGCAGTAGCAAATTCATCCATTACCACAAAAAAGGTTCTATTCTATGGTATGTTACAAGAACAGGAGGTGTGACAAACAACAAACAATTAGTAGTCAGCAAACCAATGGCAGGCAATGCTCCGAGCAGAATCAGCATAATCAGGGAAGGCTCCACGCCAGGAGTGAACTAGGGGAATATGTCAGGAGAGGAGAGCACAATCAACAAGGAGCGACGCCGAGTGTTGATTGGGGCTACTGTCAGTGGAGTGGAACCACACCTGTACCCGGGCTCTAGAACTCCGGTCCAGAATCCAAGCCCAATTACGGCTACGAAGTATCATTCACCCCCAAAGTAGGCACACACAGTCCCACCCACCAGTACTAGAAGTTGGAATAATTGCATCTCCTGGGGCTCTGCAACCAACAGGTGCTTTTGAGGCGCCTCAAAAACGCAATCACGGTAACGGAGAATCACCCCCAAAGTAAGAGCAGTTCCACCAGTACTTATAGTTGGAATAAGTGCATCTCCTGGGGCTCTGAGACCAACAGCTGCTTCCGGCCTGGCAGGCGACCCCGCTGCCACAGGGTAACCGCGCGCAGCAAAAGCAGTTGTTGTAGCACAGGTTGTAATTAGCCGTCTGCGTGGCCGTCGTCCCTCCCAGCGTGAGCTTCGTTGCAGTGCAGACGTTCTCACACGTCGTCGTGACAAAAGCACAGCACTTGCCGACCTCCTCGCCGACCATCTGAGAGCAATCCGCGTCGAGCGGCTTCCAGGCTGGATACGGGCAAGTTGTCCAGGTGCATCCGTATCCGGACAGCGGCGCGACCCCGGCGCGGTTCGTGCACGCAGCGTTGCACCCCGTGCACACCCCGTCTTGAACCACCGGCATGGCGTAGTTGCAAACCGCGTCGCAGTACGACGGGTACGTGACGAAATCCGCGCCGCACACGGGGAGGGACTCCGCGCACCCGCAGTCGAGAATCCCGACGCGCGAGTCGCAGGGAATGACCAGCGTCTGATTGACAACGAGCGGCGAGGTTTCCAGGATGTTGTTGAGGGCGGCGATGTTGACGGGCGAGACAGAGACCGTGGTGCAGCGGGTGACGAATTTCGAGGAGATGAGAGCGAGCGTGTCGCCTTCTTGGACGGTGTAAATGGAAAAGCTGGTATTGGTCTGCACCATGAGGGTGGAGAGCAGAGGCGACTTTATGCAGACCTTCTGGCCCACTTGCAGGTACGGGGCTTGGCACTGGTGGGATGAGGGTGGAGAGGAAAGGAGAGGGAAAGAGCAAGTTGATGATGGAAGGAAAAAAGGAGGATGGGAAGTGGCTTGCAGGTGGACTGAGGCGACTTTTGAGGTGCCTCAACGGTGGCTCGCAGGTGGACTGAGGCGACTTTTGAGGTGCCTCAACAGTGGCTCGCAGGTGGACAGAGGCGCTTTGGGAATGGAAGGAGGAGAACTCTTATCCTTGGACAGAAGCATGGGAAGGGACGAGCTACTGCTACAGGAGAATAATGCAGTAACCCTTACCCTGATGCCGGGGTTGATGGCGAGGAAAAGGGGTTCTGTGAGGTTGGCTGCGTTCCAGATGTTGGGGCAGTTGTCGCCCTGCAGCACTGTGTACCATGTGGTGCAGTTCACTGTGGTCTGTTGGGAGGGAGGGCAGGGGAGAGAGAAGAAAGGGAGAGAGAAGAAAGGGAGAGAGAAGAAAGGGAGAGAGAAGAAGGGGAGAGAGAAGAAGGGGAGAGAGAAGAAAGGGAGAGAGAAGAAGGGGACAATTAGCAGCCTGCAGCACCGTGTACCATGCCGTGCAGTTCACAGTGGTCTGTTGGAAGGGAGGGAGGGAGGGAATGCGGGAGAGAGAGAAAGAGGAAGGGGGAGATTAGCAGCCTGCAGTACCGTGTACCATGCCGTGCAGTTCACTATGGTACACTATGGTTCTGAAGGGGGGGAGGGGGGAGAAAGGGCGAAATGAGGACAGAGGAAGCAAGGGGGCAGAAGGGTTGAGATAGAGCTTTGCACCATGTGCCATGCCGTGCAGAGGGACAAGGATGTGGGGAAAAGAGGAAGGGGACTGGCAGAAACACGAAAATAATGAGCTTATACAAGAAAACGACGAGAGGTACAAGCATTCGACAAAGGGCGTGGAAGGATAGGAGAATGGGGTTTACCAGAGCGGTTTTGGGTGCAACGCAGAGGTAGAGACCGATCCTGAGGGCAGACTCGCAGGAAAGTGCTGGGTTGAGGCTGATGGGGAGAGCACAGTCGAGGGGGACGACGAGTGAGAGAATGTGAGGTGTTTTGAGACGTCTCAAAACACTTCTTCAATGTGAGGTAGGGGCGGGTGAGGCTACGCTACGACTTGTGGACTTGAATGGGCTAAAAGAACACCTGTATGAAAACATCACGAGCTGCTTTGTCAACTTGCAAACTTGTCTACTGCTAATACATAAACTTGCTTTGCGACAGCATAGCAGAATTTCTGGAATCCATAAACGTGCACCCTCAAAAGTGTATCCATAAACTTATAAAAAGTGTTGTACCTCATGAAAGTGCTAAGCGCGATGTTGTATTTCGTTGCGATCGCGTCGCACGTATCGCCAGCCACTGACGTGTACGTCTGGCCACACTGCGGCACGGTGATCTGAAAATGTTGTTCCGGTTTGGACGGTGAGGGGTGGGTGGGGGGTGAATCAGTCAACCAATCATATTCGCGCTTGGAGATTGCATCACTGCTGACGTCTGCATCTGGATGCACCGAGGCACAGCCGTACAGTGAAGAGCAGAGGGGGAGGGGGGGAAGAGCTTTCGTAGTGCTAACACTGGGCAGTAAGAGGTCGCCATTTTCCTCAAGACAAGACAAGCACTACAGTGACTGTCCATCTGTTCCCACGAGTCATGCGTGCAGTGTCGCTTGAACAGACGCCCTTGCGGGTGGCCGGGTTGGAGCAGGGGGTGGCGGAAATATCTGGGGGGTGGCGGAAATACCTGGGGGGTGGCGGAAATACCTGGGGGGTGGCGGAAATACCTGGGGGTGGCGGAAATACCTGGGGGTGGCGGAAATACCTGGGGGGTGGGAGAGGTGGTTCCGATGCAGATCTGCTGCAACGGCAGCAGGAATGCGCGGCCAGCCGTGCAGATGAGCGGGTTTGCGGCAGTGAGCGCGGCCACATCGCCGTTAAAATAGGTGTTGGCGAGGGACTGACACGTGTCGCCCATCTGCACCGTGTATGTGGCTGTGCACACGAAGGTGCTGCTGCTGGTGCTGGCGGTCGTATTGGATACGAGCAGCACCATGCCTGGTTGGGAGGGAGGGGGACAGGGACGGGATGGGGGAAGAGGGGCGATAAAAAGAGGCTCTGACATGGATGTGCATGCGAAGGTGCTGGTGCTGGTGCTGGCGGTCGTATTGGATACGAGCAGCACTATGCCTGGTTACGAAAGTGGTGGGAGGAGAACGGAATGGGGGGAGAGGGGGAGGACGTGAAGGGACGGGAGGGAAGGTGGTCTGACAGCAGGTGGGACGGGTGGGAGGGGCAGGAAGTAAGTGGGGATGAAGAGAGCGAGCGACAGGAATGCAAGGTAAGGTTGGCAAGGCGGTTAATTACAAAATTAACTCCACAGCACAAGGCAGGGAGCAGGCAGGGAGGGACATGTTCCAGGGGCGATGTAAGAGAGCGGGCAGTCAGAGAAAAGAATTTGATTTTTTAGTCGACCCGAGAGTCACCTTTTGAGTCGACCCAAGAGTCACCTTTTGAGCGGACCCAGGAGTTACACGCACCAGGGGCGATGAAGGCGAGCGAGCAGTCGAGAAACGGGTTGAGATTGGCGAGAGTGATGACGGAGAGCTTGAACGCGCTCGCGACCACCGTGCACGAGTCGCCTGGCACCGTGGTGTACGTCTGCCCCACGGCCGCCGTCGTGCCCACGCCCACGCACGTGATCGTGCCGTCTGATGCTGTTCCAATGGCGTAGCCCTGCGAAAGGGAGCAGGGGAGGGTGCAGGTTCGCGGAGAGAGAGTAGATTTGAAATCGTCACGCGATAAGAGTCACTTGATAATGGTCCTTCAATATTGTCACTTACTGCAGGGCACTCGCACGTGTACGTCCCGTCGCCGGGATTCCGGCACACGCCGCTCCCGCACGGGTTGAACAGCTCGCGGCTCGTGCAGGGGAAGCGCGGCACGCACTTGGCCGTGGGCGTGGACAGCACCTCCACCATGTTCGGCAGGCCGCGGCAGTCGCAGCGCGCGATGCCGCGCAGCGTGTAGCAGCGGCCGCCGCCGCAGGGGTTGATGAGATTCGCGCACGCGTCGACGGGGCCGGAGTAAGGGCGCGACCACCACTTGCCGTCGTATCCGTCGTCCTGGCGGCGAAACGGCCCGTTGGCGATCTTGACTGGCTCGGGCCCCGCGTAGTAAACCGGGTACATGGCGGGGATGCTGTTGGGGGGGGGGGGGGGGAGCGGAATGGGGGAACTTTTGAGTCGACTCAAAAGTAAACCGGGTACATGGCGGGGATGCTGTGGGGGGGAAGCGGGGGAGGAGAGGATGACCGGGGGGCAAGAGGAGGAGAGGGGGGGGGGCGAAGGGGAACGCGAAAGGAGAAAGGGGAGCGGAAGCGGGAAGGGGAAGGACTGTTGTGAGCCGTGGCAAATAAAAATGCTGGGAGTGGGAAGGGACGAATGGAGATGACTGGGGAAACAGGAGAGAGGATTGGGAGGGGGGAAGGGAAGGGATGGGGGGGAATGAGTGGAAAGGAGGGTGGGGTAAGTAAGAGCAAGCGCGGAAAAGAAAAAGAAATAAATGTGCACGCCCGGCATTGCATTTTCCCGCATCGATCTCAACTTACGCGTGCAGCCCGCATTTCCCGCGCACGTCGGGCGTCATGGCGAGGTACATGTAACCGCCGTCGCCCCACGTGTTGAACCACGAGTTCTTTAATATCCAATAGCTGCCCTCCAGACTCGGCCCGGTGTAGTTATACCCGACCACGACCACGGCATGGTTAATATCCGTCGTGCACGTGCCGTCGTAGATCTTAACCGTCCCGCGCGACGAGTAGAACTGGAAATCGTTAGCGTTGCCGGACAGAAACGCGACGACCGGCTGCATGCTGACGGCCTTCATGAGCGCCCTGGCGTTGTACGGCGGGACCAGCTCCCACCCCGTGATCTTCGCCGCGAGCGGCGTCGACGCATTCGCGTTACAGACGACGCTGTCTTCTGCGAGGTAAGGGTAATCGTCGAGAGAAGCGATGCCGCCATTAAAGAGGATGTAGGAGAAGGCCCAGTCGGGCCAGCCGCCCTTGCAGCATTGTTTTGTCGCGCAGTCGCACACCTGCTGCGGCGACAGCAGCTGCGGCGTCGTGTTGTTGATGATCGCCCACATCATCGAGACGGAATCGACGGCCACGATCGTCCAGCAGCTCCCGCACTGCGCGCCGAGCCATCAGCACAAGGGGGGAAGAGACGTGAGAGAAGAGAGAGACAGCGCGGCGGGCGGGGGGGAAATGGAGGAGACTCGAGTCGGCCTTGGGAGCGACGAGCAGAGGGAGAGAGGAGCCGAAAAGAAGACGAGCTAGACTTGTGGTTGAAGGGAATATACAAGGGCGATACTGAGGCAAAGTCGCTCGAACAAGCGTCGCTGCATAAACAGACTGGATACAAGCAGACGCACGCACCTGGTACTGTCGCTGTATCGGCGAGATGTACATGGTCTGTCGCCAATCTACATACGCGTTTGGCGTTACCGAATCCCACCGAAAGAAGGTGTTATTCACATCCGCCATACTCGGTCCCGAGTTCAGAAGCGGTGGTTTCAACCCGAGCTTCTTCGCGGATGTCGCCAGCTTGCGACGGCGACCTTCGCCGTTCTCGTTACCACTTTCTTCGCCGAGTTCGCCGCCGTTAGCGTCGTCCTCCTCGTCGTGAACGAGCAGCATCTGTTCGCTCAGCCGCGCGGCGTGCAGCCTGGCCTTCGCGTCGGGGCTTAACGCAGCGGTCTCCGCCATGGCCTGCTCGAACCGCGTCGGTAGCGGCTTCGGCGGCGCGAGATCCGCTTCCGGGAGATCCGTTACTGCTAATGCAAGACACGCTAAGCATGCCATGACTATTGCTATACGTAACGTTGAGGGGAGAATGGAGCGCCGTAGCAGCTCCATGTTGGGGGATTAGTATGCCGCTGAATAGAGTCTTCAGGGTTCACAATGTACGAATTTGGAGCGAAAGTGGGAAAGTGCTAGCGAATGAAGCTTGAGTGGCGGCAGTTTACTGGATTTCAGAAATTAGGGGCAGGGTAAGAGAAAGGAAACCAGGCTCAGAACGTAAGGTGATACGGTGACGTCCGCTGAGTGACTTGCGATGCCGTTAAGGATGAAAGCAGCGGCTTGCTACGTCACGGACTAAGTTACCTCACGAATATAGGCTTCTCAATGAAGGACGCGATTCGGAATCATGCTGTGCGGTTGTCAAGCCTTATCGGCGCGAAAGGATGCTCCCGTCGGTGATTTACAAGCACTCATTTCGTCCTCCTCTTGTGTTGTTGTGGCAGTTGTGCTGGCTGGCTGGTAGGTGAAGGGTTCGTTGGCTCCTACACGGGATGTGCAGTTCAACGTGTATCTCAAACAGGTGCTTCAGATAATCGGAACCGATGGCCAAGTCCACTCCGAGCCACTCATATATTACAGGACTACCAGATAGCGCGCCCGTCAACGGGCGAGTTTAGGGAGTGTAACCATTTTGCCTATTTTTGTTCCGGACGGTCCGAAATGTGGACCGTCCGGATTAGCGAAAAGTTACCAAAGTCGCAGCAATTCGAAAGTGAGTTCGTGGAACTCCTTGCGACGTCGCCAACATTCCGAACCGTCATGACACTTTTTCACGTTTCCAATGGTCCGAAATGTGCATTCGGACGGTCCGAAACCCAAACGGACGGTCCGCCAGTTCTGCGCAGGGATTGGCGGGCGAATTTTACTCTGCAAACCTGCGCAGGGATTTGCAAACGAATTTTCCTTGCGACAGCTTGTGTATTTGGTTACGAATGTCGTGGGAGCTACGCGAGACTACAGTAGTCGCGAAGTCGGAGTACTGGCAAAAAGTGTCATGTTTCTCTCCGGACGGTGGCAAGGTTCCGAAACCTCACATCGGACGGTCTGTTTCTCGATATTAGGACCGTCCGTTTTAAAATATACGGACGGTCCGAAAAATCACAAAAAAAAAAATCAAAAAGGTTACACGCCCTTAGCTGTTCCTCGCAAGTTACCAAGAAACAGTCAGAGCGAACACATCACTACTCTCACCCCGGCAAGTTTTGCCAGTAACTAACACAGAGTTGACATCCAGTTTAATTTAAAAACAAAACAGTGATAGTAGAACACCAAAAATGAAAATGGTGTATTTGCGTTGCCTCCCTCCTCAGCTTTCTCGGGCACTGCCGCACGGGTGTTTCGGGCATTGCAGCCCCCTGCAAAGGTCCATTCTGGGTTCTTTCTCAAGCAGTGTGTCCAGATGGGACGTGATGGAGTGATGCGGTGCTCTTTACGACTATAACAAACGTTGAAGAATGGTATAGCTTGGTTCAACTGTACAGTACCAAGCAGAGGAGCTGGCATAGGTGCTGGCGGACTGCACTGTTACGAATATCATGCCCGCGGCGCAGGTGGCAGGGGCAGATCCACCACCAAAATGCCCTCGAACGACACTGTGCAGAATGTGTTGTCGTCTTCAGGAACCATTTGACATGTTCGCTGACATTTCTTGTTTCATGACCAAGATGGCTTGTTTTTTTCTGGAGACCCAAACCTTTCAAATCAAATAATATGGAAACATACGTGTAGATAAAACATATAGATGGATCTCCACCAAAATGTCACGACGCATGTACGTGTATTCTACTCTGAAGGGACCACGAGACATGATACAGACTTGACATTGCCAAGCCTTCATTTCGACAAGTGTGATTCCCCTCCGTGCTTCAAGTAAATACTGTACACCTGATGCTCACCTCCTGCACGCGAAATTGCCTTGCACCGGATGGAAACCTTGCACCCGTGGGTTTTGTGCCGTGACGTTGCACCCACGTTACAAGCACGTCGACCAATACGAACCACAGAAACTGAAGTTTGACTGACGAGACCAAAGTCAAACAGTCAGCGTTGAGTTACAATTGTTTTTTATAAGCCCTTTTTGCCCGATGCGAATTGACGAAATCTTCAAGCGAAGCGAGAATCGCTTATAAGCCCAGAGGGTAAGGCGAGGTCGGGGGGCTCAACCGGGCATCGTAAGGTTGAGGAATTTCAACTGCCACGACTCCTTGAGCCACATTTTCCGCCAGTGCATGACCGAAAATTCAGTTGGTAAGGAGTAACCGAAGAAATCTGTTTCGATACGCGTGAATGTTTTGTTATTATTATTAGCCGGATATGAGATGTAGCTCCACTCGAACATTGTCTTGATTTGGCCCCAAACCGAAGTTCTAGGTTCGGCCCCAAGCCTCAGCCTTCCAAATTATGTCTTAGATCTCATTCCTGGCCTGGACACCATCCGAAGTTGGGACAGTTTGAGCAGTTTTTGAATGCTGCACGCCTATTCCCCCTATTTTAACCTGACCTAGAAACCATGCTACGAAATTCTGTAACCATGGGAAATACACACAAAGTTCTTTGCGATGTGGGTACACTGCACGCCACATGTGTCAATGAGTGGAGTGAGCATGGCTGACAGAGTCCACCCAACAACATTCTTGCTTCTGCGCAAGATTGGGCTCGAAACAATTTCAAGCCTTTCAAACTGCAAGGTAGCTTTGTCTTTAGTCCTTCAGTCCAAAACAAATTCAAGAAGAGCTTCGGATGGTGTCCGGGCAAGGAATGAGATCTTATAACTTGTCCACAGGTTTTAAAGGTGGGAAGGTTGGTTGGGGAAAAAGCCGCAACTGGTTAGCAACTGTCATATATGGTACTACAGTAGGTTACTCCCAACCGAGGGTAGGAAGGATGAGACACTTTGGGGCTTCTTGAGTGAATGTAGGCGTAGCTGGGATTTCCGCCTCTTGCAGAAGTTCCTGCAGATAGAGGCCCTCGCGAACTGCTGCTGTTGCAGCGATGAACTCAGCTTCGGCCGATGACAGGGCAACCAGCTCCTGTTTCTGCGAGTTCCATGAGATTGGTCCTGTCGGCTCAAGGCGAAACAGGAAACCAGTCCTGGACCGTCGATTGTCGGGGTCTGCTGCGTGATCAGCGTCCACGTAGCCGATGAGGTTGAAGGTTGGGGTCGGCGCTGTTGAGTAATAGAGCCCAATCTTGGGCGTTGAAACGAAGAACTGTAGAGCGCGCCGCAGATCCAGAAGGTTCTTAGCCGTTGGTTTTCGAGAGTACTGAGCCAGTTGGCTCGCGATGTAGGAAAGGTCGGGCCTGCAGAGTGGAGTGTTGGCCCCGCCCTCGCTTTGGTCGGATGTATGGGAGTAGCAGCCGACCGTTCACAGTGGGAGAGCTGCTTGATAGGCTTTGTCGAGTTGCAGGGGACCGCTGTGGTGTTGCTGTCGACCAGGGAGCTCGACAGCTGCAACTGACTGGTCTGGGCGACGGGTGGGCCGTCGACCAGGAGGGGCCGCTCGACCGGGAGGCCGACGGAGCATCCCGTCGACCTGCAACTCGACCGGGAGGTCTACAGAGCATCCCGTCGACCTGCAGCTCGACCGGGAGGTCTACGGAGCATCCCGTCGACCTACAGTTCGACCGGGGAGGTCGACGGAGCAGCCGTCGACCTGGCAAGTGCGCAGCGGTCGACGAGGGGATCTCGGCGACAACCGCTGACGGTTCCGGCCGACGGAAGGGGGTTCGTCGACCAAGGGGTAGCTGTGGTCGAACAAGGGCACCTGGCGGTCGACCAGAGGGACCTGGTGGTCGACCGGAGGGACCTGACGGTCGACCAGAGGCAGTGGTGGTCGACCGGAGCACCTGGTGGTGTCCAGGTCGACCGGGTAACCTGCTCGACGAGTTCTGCGGAGGCACGCGAACGTCGTCGAGGTCGCGATGGCGAAGGCGACTTCGGGCTGGTATCCCGAAGTCGATGTGGCTCGTTAGGCGCAGACAACAGCCGACGGATGCACAACGATGCAAGTCGGGCCAATCGTCTGCGCGCACCTGCGAGCGTGCGCACTGCTATCATCTACGGGTGCAACGCTGGAAAGCCGCACTGCTGCAGTGTTGGCACGCCGTCGACCTGCTGCGTTGGCAGGTCATGCAGTGCTGGCGCGGCTCCTCTACGCAACGCTGGCAGGCGGTCGACCAAGCTGTGCTGGCGGTCGACCAGGCTAGCTGCAGACTTGCTGGGTGCCTGATGTAGTCATTGTTGTCATTGCTTGTTCAATTACTCTGTAACTCCAACTTTGCTAGTGGAAACTCTTGCCGATTTCTCCCGTGAATGCGCAAGCACTAAGGAACCAAGCAAAGCTACAATCACTCCTAGTAGTTCGTGCCAACCCCCGTAGTCTAGCTCACTACCATTGTAGAGTGAATCCCCGCATTGAGAATCTGATTTCAAAACAAATCAAGAGGTTGGTTCCCATATGGTTGCAATAAACCTCATCATGTGTTACGATATGAAATTCAATGAGAAGGCATTCCTGTATGCTGCAGGAGCCGACTCTACCGAGTACGAAGTCGAGGCGTCAGAAGAGTCGAAGCGACACCAGCAACCGTCAGATCAAGACCGATGCAAACAGTTAACATCTGAAGTGAAAAGAGCAGGAACAGGTTTGAAACAGGTTTTCGCGCCGCACGGTTTGAACTTCGCTGCAATAAGGGAATGTACCCCTTAGAGTACATGGCTAGTCTAGGACTTTCGTATTCCCTGCATTTCCTATATAAACTCGATGTGTGCATGCTATTATCATCTCTGTCATTTTACATTCACTCTGATTTGAGGTCAACACTTCCGCTGCAATATCACCTGCGAACAACCCTGAGCCGATCCCTGGCTAAGTCACATTTGAGATTGTAACATAATATGAGAG